CTGGGGTTGTGGCTCAGTGGTGGAGCGCTCACTTAGCACGCTTGAGCTACTGGGTTTGATCCTCAGCACCACATAAAAATAAAATAAAGGGATTGTATCCACCTACAACTAAAAAACAAACAAATATTAATAAAGCTGGGTGCAATGGTGCACACCTGTAATCCAGCAGCTCGGGAGGCTGAGGCGAGAGGATAACGAGTTCAAAGCCAGCCTCAGCAAAAGTGAGGCCCTGAGCAACTCACTGAGACCCTGTCTGTACATAAAATACAAAACAGGGTTGGGATGTAGCTCAGTGGTGCAGTGGCCCTGAGTTCAATCCCCCATACAAAAAAAAAAAAGCAGTAATAATAAAAAAAAAAACCTTCAGTAAAATTTGTTGCTATATATTGCTGAATGCTGTTCCATTCTATGTATACACCATGTGAGTATACCAAATTTTTTTAAAAGCCTTTTTTTAAACTATTTTCTTAGTTGTAGATAGAAATAATACCTTTATTTTATTTTATTTATTTTTATGTGTTGCTGAGGATCAGACCCAGTTCCTCAAACGTGCGAGGCAAGCGCTGTACCATTAAGCTATAATCCAACCCCAAGTATACTAGATTTTACTAGCTAGTGGACATTTAGATTGTTCCTGCTTTTTGGGCTACTATGAATATTCACATACGTGTCTTTGGATACATGCATATTTTTATTTGTCTCATGTCGATTCTTTGAGTGAAAATGCTAGGTTACATGGTAAGTTTTTGTATAACTATCAAAACTGTTTTCTAAAGTGATTCTACCTTTTACCATCCGCAGTTTATGAGGGCTTCAGTTTCTCCACGTCTTCACTGATGCTATTGTTATCTGACTTTTTTTTTTTAAATCATAGCCAATCTAGTAGGTGTATATTGATGTCTCATTATGGTTTTAATTTGCAGTCCTCTGCTGACTAATGATGTGATATGATATGACTAATGATAAGTTTCATGTGCTTTTAGCTATTCATATATGTTCTTTGGTAAAATGTCCATTCCGGTCTTTTGTCTATTTGAAAAAATATACCAAATTATCTTTTGAATTATTTAGTGTAGCTCTTTATATATTCTGCATACAAATTATTAGATATATAATTTATAAATATTTTCTCTTGGTCTTTGGCTTTATTCTCTTCTCCGTGTGTGTGTGTGTGTGTGTGTGTGTGTGTGTGTGTGTTGGGATTTAAATCTAGGTGCTCAGACATGCTAAGTACTAAGCACATGTTCTTCTGAGCTACATTCCCAGTCCCTTTTTCTTATAGTGTCTCCTAAAAGGCAGAGATTTTAAAACTTTTTTTTTTTTTAGAGAGAGAGAGGGTGAGAGAGAGAATTTTTAATATTTAGTTTTCAGTTTTCGGCGGACACAACATCTTTGTTGGTATGTGGTGCTGAGGATTGAACTTGGGCCACACGCATGCCAGGCAAGCGCGCTACCGCTTGAGCCACATCCCTAGCCCAGATTTTAAAACATGACAGTGACTTTTCATCAGTTTCTTCTCTTGGGATTATGCTCTCAGTGTGTAAGAATATTTTATCCAACCCAATGTCATGAAATTTTCTCCTTTATTTTCTTCTAGAAGATTTAGAGGTGAAGTTCATGTTATGGGCTCTCTTTTTTTCTTTTTCTTTTTTCCCATTTTGCAGTAAAGGATCCACATTGCAGGCCTGAGACTGCTATCCTTAGGCAGGCCTCTTGGCAAGACTGGCTCTGGATTCATGGCTGGAAACTTAGATTTTCGGAGGGTTCCCATCCTCCCAGTCTGATATGAGTGGCTCACCATTCCAACACTGTACAAGTGATGTGTTGTGTGGAACTACCTCCTTCCCTTCCAGGAATTAGAATTTTGGAATTTTGCTAGGTGGAGGTGCCTGCTTGATCAGCCCCCGGTAAAAGTTCTGGATACTGCATCTCAAACGAGCTTTCCTGATAGATGGCATTTCATATGTATTGTCACAGCTCATTACTGGAGGAATTAAATGTGACCTGCATAACTCTACTGGGAGAGAACTCTTAGAAGCCTGTGCCAGCCTTCCTTCAAGACCTCTCATACCCTTTTGCTTTGTTATCTCTTTGCTGTGATAAATCCAAGCAACGAGTTCTGCTAGTCATAGTAGCAAATCGATTGCTGAACCTGGGTATTATGGTTGGGATGTGTGGTGTCCCCAGAAAACCCATGTGTGAGACAATGCCATATTCAGAAGTGAAATGATGAGATTATGAGAGTTGTGACCTAATCAATGAATTAACCCACTGACCTAGATTAACTAGGTAGAAACTATAGGCAGATAGGGTGTGGCTGGAGGAGGTGGGTCAGTGGGGGTGTGCCTTTGGGGTTTCTGTTTTGTCCCCTCTGCTTCGTGGTTCCATGTCCTGAGCTGCTTTCCTCCACCACACCCTTCCACCATGATGTCTGTCTCACTTTGGGCCCAAAGCTGTGGAGTCAGCCATCTAAGGACTGAGCCTCTGAAAATGTGAGCCAGAATAAAATTTTCCTCCCTATTTATTCTTGTCAGGTATTTCAATCACAATGATGAAGAAAGCTGACTAAAACACTGGGGGTGGTCTTGGGGACCCGGACATAACTATGAATGTCTAATTGCTTTAGCATCAGTTGTTAAAAAGACTATCTTTCCCCCGCTTCTAACTGTCCTGGCACGTTTGTCAAAATCATTTGGCCATAAGCCTAAGGATTTATTTCTGGTTCATTGCCTCCCCTCATGCCAGTACAACCCTGTCTTGATTACTGTGAGTTTGTAACAAGTTTTAAAATCAAACAGCACAAATCCTCCAACTTTGTTCTTTTTTCAAAATTGTTGTGGCTATTCTAGGTTCTTTGTGTCTCCATACAAATTTTAGTATCTACTTGATGATTTCTGCTAAAAAAAAAAAAATAACTTATGGAGGGTTGGGGTTGTAGCTTGGTGGCAGAGCAATTGCCTAGTGTGTGTGAGGCACGGGGTTCAATTCTAAGCATTGCATATAAATAAATAAAATAAAGGTCCATTGACAACTAAAAAATATATTTAAAAAAATGCTTATGGGAATTTGGATTGGGATTGCATTGAGTCAGGAAGTCAGCTGGGGAGACTTGACCTCTTGACAATAATGAGTCTTTGATCCTTAAATGTGGAATATCTGTTCATGTAATATCTCAGTGATGTTTCATAGTTTTCAGTGTCCAGATCTTGTACTTTTGTTAAATGGCTATTATGAACAGATTGGTTTTCTCAGTTTCATTTTAAGGTTGTTTATTGCTAGAATATAGAAATAGAATTAATTTGCATGAGTGTTTGTGGTCTCTATTTATTTATTTGTTGCTGGGGATTGAATCCAGGGCCTTGCACATGTTAAAGCACATGCTGTTCCACTGAGCTACACCCCAGCTCTGAATTCTGCATACTGATTGTACCCTGTGACCTTGCTAAATTTATTAGTTCTAACATTTGTTTTATGGATGCCTTGGGATTTTCTACATATAAGATAAGGCAACCAGGTGAGGTGGTGAATGCCTGTAATCCCAGCAGCTCTGGAGGCTGAGGCAGGAGGATCATGAGTTCAAAGCCAGCCTCAGAAATGTAGCGAGATGCTCAGCAACTCAATGAGATGCAGTCTGTAAATAAAATACAAAAATGTGCTGGGGATGTGGTGGAGTGGTCAAGGGGCCCTGGTTTCAATCCTAGTACCCCCCCCCCCCCCCACCCACAAAAAAAAAAAAAGATAAGGCCACTGTGAATAAAGGCAGTTTTATTTCTTCCTTTCTCATTTGGAAGCCTTTAATTTCTTTCCTTGCCTCATTGCTGCTGGTTTGAACTACTAGTACAGTGTTTGTGAGAAATGACAAAAACGTACATCTCTACCTTATCCAGAAGAGTAATGCAGTCAGTCTTTGACTATTAAGTATGTTAGCTGTCAGATTGTGTAGGTACCTTTTATCAGCTTTTGTAAATTCTTATTTTTCATAGTTTGTTGAAAAACGTTAGCATGAATTTGCATGGGATTTTGTTAACATGCTTTTTGCTGTATCTATTGAGACAACCATGTGTTGTTTTTTTTTGTTTGTTTGTTTGTTTGTTTGTTTTTTGGTACTGGGGATTGAATCCAGGGGCACTCAACTACTGAGCCATGTCCCCAGCCCTTTTTTTATTTTATTTGGAGACAGGGTCTCACTGAGTTGCTTAGAGCCTTGCTAAGTTGCTGAGGCTGGCTTTGAACTCATGATCCTCCTGCTCAGCCTCCCAAGCCACTGGAATTACTATGCGACTGACTGGGCCCAGCTAACCATGTGTTATTCTACTAATGTAGTGTTACATGAGTTGATTTTCAGATGTTAGACCAATCTTGTATCCTGGAATAAATCATGGTAGATAATCCTTTTTATATGTTGCTGGTTTGGGTTGCTGTTTATTGAGGATTTTTGCATAGGTATTCATGAAGGATATTGACCTGTTTTGTTTTGGATCACAGTAATTCTAGCCTTATAGAATGAGTTGGGAAGTGTTACTTCGTCCTCTGTTTTCTTTGTAAGAGGATAATTTTGTTGTTGTGTATTTTTGTCTCTTGAGATGGGGTCTCACTTGTTGCCCAGGCTGGTCTTGAATTCCTGGGCTCAAGTGATCTGCCTTCTTGAGCCTTCCTAGTGCTGGGACTCATGCGACTGTGCCTGATTTAAAGGGATAATTTATGGCCTTTTAGGGGGTGACTGGAGGCAGTCATTCTTTTCAAGGGTAACTTTTTGCAGGGATCTCTTAGGATGTGGCAGCTTGCAGCATTATTGACTGTGTTCCCGGCTCCATTTGCTGGCGGGTCTGGCTGAAGATGGGGCAGATGCCCAGGGTCTCTGAGACATCTTGTCTGATCACATCTGGCAAGCAAATGCAAGCAGCCCTCTGAGCTTCCCCGCAGGAATTGAGGGTTGGTCTGCTCACCTGGCAGTGGGGTGCTTGGCTGAGGGCACATCTCTCCCTTCTCTCTCTGAACAGAGTAGCCACGAACCAGAAGGTGCGAGAGCAGGTACGCCTGGAGCTGAGTTTCGTCAACTCGGACCTGCAGATGCTCAAGGAGGAGCTGGAGGGGCTCAACATCTCAGTGGGAGTGTATCAGAGCACAGAGTGAGTGGGGCAGCGCGTCATCCAGATGCCTGAGTGTACCTGTGTCCAAGGTGGGACACAGAGAGGTGGTGGGTAGGGGGTTGTGCACCGAGGGCAGGACAGCCCCTGTTTTGGGAAGTGAGATGATTGGGTTTGGTGTTGAACCAGGTACAAGGGTCAAAGCAATGACCCTGGGGAGTTTGTTGGGAAATATCCGCAGTGTTGGACAGACGGGCGTTTGACCTGGGGTCCCTTGGAACACAGAGAACACTGGGTCCCAGCAAGGAGATGGCATCTCTCACATGGGCTGGGGTGGTGGCTGTGATGTAAAGATGCCCTGCAGGTGCTTCTGTGGGTGGCCATAGCTGATGTGCCATGTGAGGACAAGGTTACCCTGCCATTTGCCCTCCCAGACTCTCTTCAAGTACAAGGCCTGGCCCTGGGTCTCTCTGTTGATAGAATGCAAAAAAAGTAGAAACTGCCTTGAGGGGGATCTTTTTTATATATATATATTTATTTTTTAGTTGACACAATGCCTTAACTTTATTTATTTTAATAAATTATTTTTAATAAATTATTTATTTTTAATAAATGAGGATGGGACCCAGGGCCTCGTACATGCTAGGTGAGCAATTTACTGCTGAGCCACAACCCCAGTCCAAGGGGGATATTTTATGTCAAAGTTAGGGGGCCCGAGTTCCCCTAGAAGATGGTATAGTGGCGACACTTAAGAAATGTATGACAATAAGTATTGGAGTTTCCTCAGGGAATGTTTATGGGAGGTGGATTATTGAAGTGTGCCTTCAGAAAGTTCTCTGCCCTGGGTGAGCTATTTTTTTTGGGAAAAAAAATGTTCATCTTTAATTAAGAAATAGCTGAGCCCTCCAAAGAAGGGTTTACTTGCCATGTGGGGATGTGAGGCTTCTTAGGTAGGTGAGCTCCAGGGGAAACTCAGGAATAAAATAAAATAGTTCCCTGGATTAACAGAAGGAAGACATTTGGGAATTTTGAGCCACCTTGGAGCGTGCATTTCCTGACCCTAATCCTCCCCATGGCACCTGGGTTGTTTTCCAAGCTGAGAGCCAAGAGCAGGTGTCTGGAGTCCTGCTGCTCTTCCCTCAGTGACAGTCCTGTGCGCAGCTGGTTTACCTGTGGGCTCCCAGTGCAGTTTCAAAAACCCGGTCAGGGCAGCAATGAATGGAAGGTTCTCCTAGCCTCTCCTCTGGTGTTAAATTCCAGTGTTTCCCCCCAAAATTTCAAGGTTAGGGTTTTTTTTGTTGTTTTCTTTTAGTACTAGGGATTAAACCTGGGGGGTGCTTTACTGTTGAGCTACACCCCAGCCCTTTTTATTTTTTATTTTGAGACAGAGGTTTTGCTAAGTTGCCCAGGCTGGCTTTTAACTTCGATCCTCCTGTCTTAGCCTCCTAAATTGCTAGGATTACAGGCATGTGCCACTATACCTAACCAAAAAGGTCCAAATTCCTCCAGGACTCAGACTTCAGTAATAAATGGAGAGTGGCCATTTTTTTGTTTTGTTTAAAAAAAAAAAAAAAAGCAGGGTTTTCTTACAAAGATGCATCTAAGACCCCTGTATAGTCATAGTCCACAATGGCCTCTCTTGATTCCCCTGTGTTATTGGGGAGAGGGGAGAGACAGGCAGATACCAAATGACAACTTGTATTTGCACCCTTCATTGTAGCTATTTTCAAAGTAGGTTGCTGCTTTCTGAGTGCTGTAGATTGTGAAGCTCTTCTAGAGGTAGGCAGGGAAGAAATGATCTCACGTACAGATGAGAAAATTCAGGGAGGCTCAGGTCACAAAGAAAGTCATGTTAGCGCCACACTAGGGATGATGGAGTCCTCAGGATACCTGTCACTCTTCTCATTGCCTCGAGAGTCTTGGGAAGAGCCGACCTTGCCGCCAGCCCTGGAGGAGCAAGAAGGCTTGGCCTGCCTTAATCTCCTTCAGGTCCAGCCTTCCTGGCAGGCTTTGGGGAAGCCAGGTACTAAGGTTTGGTCTCACCTGCTTTTAGCACAGCAGTGCCACAGTGGCAGTTTCAGTTTACAGCTGCATTGTCCACTCACCCTGCCCAGCATTCCTGACCTCCTCTCTGGGCTGGGCTAAGCAGCCTGTGGCAGTCTCCTGTTACAGTTCAGGGAGCTAAATCCCTATTTGCTAAACACAGCCTGCTTCCTGTTCACTTCCTTCTGGCCCTGCCCCTAGGAATGTAGGCTCAGGGAGAACTCCTGAGTGCAGGTTGACTGAGGGGTCAGTAGGGGCAGAAGAGGAGGTGGAGGTGAAGTGGAGACTGCAGGCTGACCCTGGACTGGGAGCTAAGTGTGCCTAGATGTCAAATGGGGCCCCAGGCTGCAAAGTCTTTTCTATGTAGGTAATGGGACACCTGTTGTAATAGCCCCAAATGTGGAGCCCAGGGTTGAGTGTGTAGGGTGTTGGAGGGCAGTTAGACAGGTGGGACCCACTGTGGTGAGGAGAGGGAGAGGAGGGAGGCTTGGAGATTAGAAGGAGGCCCAGCGTAGCGGGTGGTATACCCAGGCTGGGAAGCAGTGAGTGCATGTGGCAGGTCGCTGAAAGTTGAGACTGGAGGGATAAACCAGGGTCAAGTTGGTGGGGTGGGGGTGGGTCTTGTGTGTTAGGCTGCAGCATCCAGCTGTCACAGGGGGCTGGAATCCATTTTAAGAACTGAAGGAAGGGGACTACCCGAGTTGTCCTTAGGGAACGGGAACCCGTCAGCTAGCTGTGTGGTGGACTGGTGTGAGGACAGAAGTGGGGACCTGAGCTGGGTTGCTGGGGTGAGGCTGTGGAGTGCCAGGTGGCCTGGTTGGGGTGTTCACATGCCTTGTTGTACTCTTTGTAGGGAGGCGTTTATGATCCCTCTGATTCCTCTTGGCCTGAAGGAAACCAAAGACGTCGACTTTTCAGTCGTCCTCAAGGTAAAGCACTTGGCCTCAGTGTTTAAAATGGGAAAAAAGAAATTGTGTATTCCTCGCAGTGGTCTGAGGCCCACTGGGCCAGGCGCCAGTGATATCTGTCTGCAGGTGACCGTCAGTCATTCCTCTTAACTTGCTCTCTTCTTTGCTGACTTCTGAAGCTCCTCCTGAGAACCTGGAAAAGGTGGGCTGGGATCCCAGATGGACCTCCACGGGAGGCCAGGTGGAAGAGGGTCTGTGGTGGGTGTCCTTTAGAATTTTAAGAATTGTACCCTGTTATACCTTTCTTCTTAAATTGTGTAACCAATTAAGGCCATGTTTTTGGAAGAACGGCTAAAGTCTCCCGCCCCCAACATATCATCATGGAAAACTTCGAAACTTATAGAAAAACTGAAAGAATCCTACAGTCATCCTGAAAGAATCCTACCAGTAACATTTTGCTTTATTGCCCACCTGTCCATTTATGCCTCCCTGTGTCTGCCCACCAGTCCATTTTATTTTATGATGCATTTCAAAGTAAATCAAAGATATCAATTCACTACCCTTAAATACTTGAATAGCTCAAGTTTGGGGTTTGGTTTTTCTCTCTGATTCTTGAGTTTCTGAGCTCCTTTCTCATTCAGTAGGTACTTGTAGATCTGCAGCAGTCACTGTATTGCCACCTGGAGATGCCACAAGCCTTACCTTGGGGGCCTGTGAGTCCTGGGTGGGGGGGGGGTCAGGTAGGACACTGGAGATCTTTGTTAGAGTCATACAAGAGAGATGGAGCTTCCACACTGGGGCCAGGAGACCATCCACACCTAGAATATTTAATTGTTCTTCCTTTCCCTAGGTCCATCAGTTTGAGGTTTGGTGTCACCAGCTGGCTGGGCTGGCAACTAACAAAACACAAACACAGAAATGTTTTGTGGATCAAAGACGCCTCTGAGACCTCAGGTGTCAGCTCCCACGCTGGAAGGCAAGGGGAGCAAGGGAGGCAAGAGGCAAGAGAGAGAGCCCACCTGAAATCCCCCTGTTTATTGGGGAAAAGCCATTCATAGAATATTCCACCCAAATAGGCAAGGGATTGGGTTTCAAAAGATGGAGTCTTGCTTGGTGATGTCTTGTGGTCAGCAGGTTGATTGACATCTTGGAAAGCCACACCCATCTCAGGTACTGTGTAGGATCACAGGCAGAGCGACAGAAAAATGGGTCACACAGCCCAAAAAACGTGTAACGCCAGACCAGTCCCAAATGTGCATAGCTCACACACACAGACCATGGATGGCTCGAGACAGTTTGGTGTTTTTTTGGTACTGGGAACTAAACCCAGGACTTTCGCAGGCTAAGCAGCTATACTACTACTGAGCCATATCCCCAACTCCATGTTCAGTTTGAGATTTAATGACTCACCTCCATCTGCTGTTTAGGAGATGAGGTATAAGGTATAAGGTAGTATCTATCTCTGAGCTTTCCAGTACAGATTCAAGGGATAGGAATTAAACCCAGCATTGTAAAAAAAAAATGCTTCAAAGAATGATGTTTCTTTCCTTACTAATCCTGTTCGTTGATTCATTTTGTACTATTATTAGTTAAGAAAAAAAATGATCATGGCATTTTGGCCACTATAGAATTAATTTTTACCACAGTATTGGAGATTGAACCAGGGGTGCTTTACCACTAGCTACATACCCAGCCCTTTTTGTTTTATTTTGAGACAGAGGCTCAATAAGTTGCTAAGGCAGGCCTCAAACTTGTGATCCTCCTGCCACAGCCTCTGCAGGAGTAGCTGAGATTACAGTGCACCACCATGTCCAGCCAGAATTTGTCTTTTAAAAGCAGTGGATTAATACTTTGAAAGCAACTGCACTTGACCTCTTCTTAAACAGACGCTATGAGTCACATGATATACACGTCCCTTTACTCAGGGTCTTTTTGTTGTTGTTGTTGTTACAGGGGATTGAACTCGGGGGCACTTGACCATGGAGCCACATCCCCAGCCCTCCTCAGTCTCCTGAGCTGCTGGGATTACAGGCGTGTGCCACCGTGCTGGCTACCCAGGGTCTTTTGACTGCTGCCTTTGTTTAAATTTAGGGTCAGGTTTCCGTGAGTTTGGAGTTTTTATTCGAGTTGGAGAAAGGCAATTGGTGGTATTTCAGGGTTCAGATTGACCAAAAAGTTGATTTTCTGGGTAGAAAACTGTTTAGGATCAGCCTCTTTATGCCAGCTTTTCACAGCCCGTCTGAACTTTTGAGATGTGATTTGCCACTGCTCTATGGGACTCAAGATAATCCCTGTATTTGTAGAAAAGTTGCATTTCTACAATTTTTTTTTTTTCTTAAGATTTAATTTGTCTGTTGCCCGGTGCCAGAGTTAAAAAGAATGTGGACGTTTTAAAGGAGACTCTCTTGGAGAAACTTAGGAATGTTTGGGGCATCTGCAAGGATCCAAATAGGTCATGTTGCTGAATTCCACATTAAAGCAAGTGGAAAAAAAAAAAAATCACATGCTGTGGGCATAGCCAATTACCATTCAGTGAGGCTTCCAACCATGTCATTTTATCTGAAAAGGGACGCTGCAAATGTCAGTCATCCAAAAATGAGAACGTTTGGGGACTTTCTATTTTCTCCCTTCCACATTTGTATTTGAGAGAAACAAGCAAAACAGAAGTTGTTCAGTGGACTTTGTCAGGGCCATTCCATTTCAAATCTGACATGTGTCCATGGGAGGTTTAAGGTCAGGAAAGCTTCATGATGTAATTTTTTTTTTTAAAGGAATTTAACCTTTATTTATTTGTTTGTTTTAATGTGGTACTGAGGATCGAATCCAGGGCCTCACCCGTGCTAGGCAAGTGCTCTCCCACTGAGCCACAACCCCAGCCCTCATGACGTAATTTTATTCTGTTTTAAAGACATGGGCTTTAAAATGGCTGCTTTAGAAAGCATCATCAGGCCTAGTGGTGTAGCTCAGAGGCAGATGCTTGCCTAGAATACACAGGGCCCTGGATTCAATCCCTGCACCACAAAAAACAAAAGCAGCAGCAACTGAAATTATCAAAATGCATGCCTTTTCCAGAGAATTTGAGGTTTTATTTGTCTGTTTGCTTTCCTTTTTGTTTTATCTTTACTGGAGATTGAACCCTGGGTCTCACACTAGGCAAGCTCTATGCCTCTGAGCTACATCCCCAGCCCTATTTATTTTTATTGAAACAGGTTCTGAGTCGCCAAGGCTGGCCTCAGATCTGTGACCTGCCTCAGCCTCAGCCTCCTGAGTAGCTAGGATTCCAGGTGTGCATCACCATACCTGGCTTGTTTTTGCTTTAAATGGAGCTGCTGCTGCTACTGCTGCTTCTCCTCTTCCTCTTCCTTCTGTTTCTTCCTCTTCTTCTTCCTCCTCCTCCTCTTCACTCTAATTAAGACCATTATTGCAGAACATTCAGAAAATACCAAGACACATAAAGATCCTCCCTACTTAGCTATGTGACTTGCTTAGTACTTACCTATCCTTTGGACACTTTGGTTTCTTCCTCTAACAGTGTCCTGCTTTGTGAAGGTCGGAAGAGACGTGTCTATTAAGGACAGAGTTTCTGCAGTGCTTGATGGTGTCTCTTCCCTACCCCCACCTCTTGCTCCCCTCCCACTCCATGCCAGCCTCTTGCTGTAGCTTTCTTTTCTCTGTGGTCAAGGGGGAGGAGCACCAGCAGGAGATCCCAGGGTGGGAGCAGAGGGAAGTCACATTTTCCCTGTCTCCTTCAGCTGCCTTTTGCATTCTCTATGCAAAAGACACCCTACCCCAAGGTTTATTTGGTGCCCACCTAGGTTGCCAGTGTAGCTGCTTCTACATCTGGGCTCTCCAGTTTATGGGGCTTAATCCACCCCCACCCCTGCCCTTTTGTATGCTGGGCATAGAATTCAGGGGCAAGAGCATGCTAAGCAAGTCCTTTCCCACTGAGCTATGTTCCCAGTCCTGGGGTTCTATTCGAATGACTTCAGGAGTTTGGCACCATTCTTTAACTCTGCCCACACCACTATTATAATAATAATCCCTGCATTACATTCTCATCACTAGCACTGCTGATGCATGCCATCCTGCCTGGACCTGATGTGGATATGCCATCCTTTCTTCGTTTTTATGGGGAAACTACTAAGCATAGTCCACTGCAGCCTGAGTGCTAGACATTATCCTGTTTCACATCTGAGGAAACTGAAGCTCAGCCAGGTTAACCCTTCAGGGTTAGAGAGCCAGCCTGGCTCTGTAGAGTGAGTCTGTCCCAGAACTAAGAATGACAATTGCCTTTTCTGTTCCTTTGGGGAAGTTGCAGGCTTTTGTTAAGTACCTGCTTCTCAAATATACTAAGGTCTGCCTATGGCTCACTTTAGCATCAAGTAGAACAAGCCTCCTTTATGACTTTAATTTTCCAAACTTTCTTAGCTTTTACACCCACATTTTTGCTTTGACATTTTGTCAAATTCCCCCCAAAGCAGCACTTTTGAGTCTTGATTGAAATTTAATTAACTCATACATTAATTTGGACAAAAGTCCATCTTCACAGAATTGCACATTTTTCTTTGTGAACAAAACATATCCAATTAACAAACAACAAATGTTACGGGGGGTAAGGCTGGGCATGGTGGCAAACATCTGTAATCCTGGCTATTTGGGAAGCTGAGGCAGGAGGATCATAAGTTTAAAACTAGCCTGGGCAACTTAGTGAGACCAGTCTCAAAATAAAATAAAGAAGATTGGGAATATAGCTCAGTGGTAGAGTGCTTGCTTAGCATGGTCAAGTACTTGGGTTCAATCCCCAGTACTGCAAAAAAAAAAAAAAACCCAAAAACAACAACAAAAAGAAAACTTATATGGGTAGGGACCATGTCTATCTTTTTCGGAAATGATTTAATGAATAAGTGAAAGAAATAATGAAATAGCTCATGTCCTTCAGTAAAGTCTAATAGTTGTCAGCTTAATTAAATTAATTTTATCCCTAGAAATACTGTACTTTTATAAAAGATATTCCTATATAATATTGCTATTATATTTATCCAACTAGTTATTGATTGTTTAAGAAAAGAAGAATATTAGGTTTTTCCATTATTGACTTTGTAAAGGAAATGGTCCTTGTGCCTGAGCGTCTCCTAGAAAAGTGCTGGTCCTGCTTTCAGGACTCTCTGTGTGGAGCTCCAGATCACCTTTGTCCTGCAGATCTTGCTCACCTTAATTAATGTCACCAACAATACAGTATTTAAAAACTATTTCAAATTTTACAAATGGTCATTACATTAGTAGAGGAGTTGATTCTAAACATCACCACTTTGTCATGAAGAAAATCTGTGACAGCATCATAAGACAATAGGACAAGTTTTGAGCCTGCTGTGGTAGTGCATGCAAAGATCCAGCTGCTCAGGAGGCTGAGGTTGGAGGATCCCTGGAGTCCAGGAGTTTGAGTCTATTGGGCAACAGTATCTCACCAGGACAAAAAAAAAAAAAAAGAGGAAAGAAGAAGTTGTATAAAAATAACTAAGTTACAAAAATTTTCTTTTGGTATGGGGCAGGAGTTAAACCCAGGGGCACTTAACCACTGAGCCACCTCCCCCATTCTTTTTTTTTCTTTTCTTTCTTTTTTTTTTTTTTTTAAATATTTATTTATTTTTTTAGTTTTTGGCGGACACAACATCTTTGTTTGTATGTGGTGCTGAGGATCGAACCCAGGCTGCATGCATGCCAGGCGAGCGCGCTACCGCTTGAGCCACATCCCCAGCCCTCTTTTTTTTTCTTTTAATTTACTTTTTAGTTTTAGGTGGACACAATATCTTTATTTATTTTTTTTTATGTGGTGCTGAGGCTCGAACCCAGTGCCTCACGCATGCTAGGCGATCGAGCTACCACTTGAGCCACATTCCCAGCTCCTCCCCTGTTCTTTTTATTTACTTTTAAAATTTTTGTTTAGCTGTTAAAATTTTGAAACAGGGCCTCACTAAGTTGCTAAGGCTGGCTTTGAACTTGTGATCCTCCTGCCTCAGCCTTTGAGGTGCAAAAATTTAATTTTTTAATTCAAAATTAAAGAAACTTCATTTCCTTGGACACTGCAAGACATCTTTGGGGATTTGTTTTGAGAAACTAGTCAGAGATGTGCACACTGATGATCATCATAGTGTTATCTTTAATTGTAAAAAATTGGAAACAACTTTGGTATCTTTTTCTTTAAAAAAATTATTTTTAAGTTGTAGTTGGACACGATACCTTTATTTCATGCATTCATTTTTATGTGGTGCTGAGGAATCTCACTCAGGACCCCGCATATTGTAGGTGAGCGCTCTACCACTAAGCCACAACCCCAGCCCCAACTTTGGTATTTTAACAAGTGAAAGTAAAGTAAAATCTTAGTACATTTGACTAGCACATAGCTAGTGATCAGTTTACTTGTCGAATACTTGAATTGTATACTTATTTCATTGGGGGATACAGAACCATTAAAAGTCATGTTATATAATATTTTTTGGCCGTGAAAATGTTTGCTATATAGCTAAGTTGTATTCAGTACAAACCCATTTGCATGTGTGTGTCTCTCTGCATTGCACATGCTAAAACGGGAGGAGTTTGAAGTATATACTACAGAGAATATCACAGTCACTAGGGGAAAGAAGTGAACAGTTATCTTACCAGCTTCTCTTATAGCCAGCGAGAGCCAGCGCTTAGGGAGGATGCTCGGTAGGATCATTCTCCCTGCCCCTCACATGATTCTTACTTTTGTTCCTATAATATTTAATTTCTTCTGATACAGGTCAACCATCTCTACAGTGCAGAGGTACAGATTCTGTACCTTCATGATGTCACAAGTAGAAACTTTGTTTCATATACAAAATTAATTATTTTAAAATATTGTGTAAAATTACCTTTAAGCTGTGTGTAAAAGGTGTATATTTAGACTTGGCTCCCATTCTCAAGATATCTCATTATGTATACACAAATATTCCAAAATCTGGGCTGGGGGTGGGGGAAGTAAAGCCAGAAACACTAATGGTCCCAAGTGGTTCAGTAAGGAATAGTCGACTGTGTACCATATAGCTTATTTGTTTATTTATTTTTAAAGAAATTTGCTTTATTATAATTTAAAAATTTTTTTAGTTGTAGATGGACACTACCTGTGTTTATTTTATTTATTATTTTTATGCTGTGCTAAGGATCAAATCCAGGGCTTCACACATGTTAGGCAAGCCCTGTATCACTGAGCTACAACCCCAGCCCCTAGTTTATTTATTTTCATGCCTATCACTATTGTCTGTGTTGGGAGAATCTGAGCTCCATGGGAGGCCAGATCTTTGAACACTGCCTGGTACATAGAAAGTGCCCATTAATGTTTGTTAAATAACTGAATGAACTTTGAGCAGTTGTCAAACACTGGGATGTTCTGGATCCTTTTAGGGGTTTAGAGGTCTCACTGGGTTGTTTTTGTTCATGGAAGTACCAGAGCTCTCAAAGGTTCCCTGCAGAATCTTACATCCTTTCTTTTTTTTAAGGTTCTGGGATTGAATCTAGGGCACTTTACCACTGATCTACACCCCAGTCTTTTTTATTTCTTTAGTTTGAGACAGGGTCTCACTAAGTTGCTGAGGCTGGCCTCAAACTCACGATTCCTCTGCCTTATCTTATCTCATTTTTCTTGAAGGATTTTATCCTGGAACATTACAGTGAAGATGGCTATTTATATGAAGATGAAATTGCAGATCTTATGGATCTGAGACAGGTAAGTTTTCTGTGCAGCAGAGCTGGAGGACAGCTGCTTGAGCTTGCTGAACCTTCTGCCCATCCTGTGACCGCACGGGTGTAGTCTTAGAAAATCCAGGATGGTTGGGGATGATGGGGGAGGGGCTGTTGGAATTCCACCTGCAGCACCCTAGTACTGGAGAGACCTGCCCATTGTCCTGCCTGGGCCTGGATCCCAGGGTTCCTGACCTCCTAGAGTTCATGATACCAGCAAAGGGTCCTACACATCACAGAAATAGTTGGAGGCACCTGTTTCTACAGGTGGTACTCTCCTGCTCACCTCTCTGCTGTCTTCCTTGTAGGCTTGCAGGACACCCAGCCGGGATACGGCAGGTGTTGAACTATTGATGTCATACTTCATCCAGCTGGGATTTGTGGAGAGTAGATTCTTCCCGCATACTCGCCAGATGGGGCTCTTGTTTACCTGGTAGGTGCCTGTGGTCTGCATGTCCTTTCCCAGGTTAGGACCCTCAGCACCTATCATAGATGACATTGAGACAGCAGACTCTGTGGTGGAAGGTGAATAAATTGGTATTTATTTATTTATTATTTTTATTTTTTTTTTTTTTTGGTATTAGGGATTGAACTCAGGAGTGTTTTGCCACTGAGGTAAATCCCCATCCCTTTCCTTTTATTTTTTATTTTGAGACAGGCCTCTCTAAGTTGCTTAGGGTCTCACTAAATTGCTGAGGCTGACCTCAAACTTGAAATCCTCCTGCCTCACTCAGTCTCCCAAGTTGTTGGGATTACAGGTGTGTGCCTAGCTATTATTTAGTTCTGATGGGGACCCAAGGGAGGAAGGCCTTGAATGTTTCAAAATAAGTGAGCCAAGAAGAAGCTTTTTTTTTCTTTTCTTTACTTTTTCTTTCTTTCTTTCTTTTTGTACCAAGGATTGAAGCTGAGGCACTTAACCACTGAGGCACATCACCAGCCCTTTTTTTATTTTTTATTTTGAGACAGGGTCTTGGTAAGTTGCTGAGGCTGACTTTGAACTTGTGATCAGAGAAGTGTTTTTTTTTTTTTTTTTTTTTTTTTAATGCTCATTATGTCATTGGGGAAACAGCAGGGCTCTGAAGCAGTTTCTGTCTTAGATGGGAGGGAATTGGGTTTTGTCCTAGTGGCAATCAGAAATAGATTTTAAAAAACTGAAATAGAATATCTGATTCTTTTCCATAATGACATTTTCAAAGATCAATATGGTTTCTCTACTTTGGAAAAACTGGGTCTCTTCTCTTAAGTATACATGCAGTGTGGGCTAAAGGGCGTGGTCAGCATAAAATTTTACCACAATGGATAGAATACGGCCAATGCCTCCCCTTTGGGAAGAACATGCAGATGACTTTGAAAAAAAATGCGGTTGGCTGCCCATTTGAGTGAGAAGGCAGTAGTGGCTTCTTTCTCGTCTTGAATTAAGAACAAGCTTCCTGCCTATCTCTTGATTTGAAGCATGAGTTTTAAAAAGTCCTGAGCATAACTCCAATTAGAATGGCATCCATCAGGAAGGCAAACAATAATAAATGCTGGAAAGGATGTGCAGATAAAGGAACACAGTTACACTGTTGGTGGGATTGTGAATTAGTACAACCACTGTGGACATCAGTAGAGAGGTTCCTCAGAAGATTAGGAATAGGAGGCTGAAGAACGAGGATCTTGAGTTCATAGCCAGCCTCAGCAATTTACCGAGGCCCCAAGCAAGTCAGCAAGACCCTGTTTCTAAATAAAATATAAAAATGGGGCTGGGGATGTGGCTAAACGCCTCTGGGTTCATTCCCAGGTACAGAAAAAAAAAAAAAAAAAAAGACAAGGAATGGAACCAGTACATGACCCAGCTGTACCACTCCTTGGTATTTAAAGGCATCTTACTATAGGGATACATGCACTCCCATGTTTATAGCAGCACAATTCACAATAGCCAAAGTATGGAACCAGCCTAGGTGTCCATCAGTGGATGAATGGATAAAGAAAATATGGTATATATATATATACACCATATTTTCTTTATCCATTCATCCACTGATGATATATATATATACACATACATATACACACAAGGGAGTTTATCCAACCATAAAGAAAAAATGAAATGATTTCATCTGCAGGAAAATGGATGGAACTTAAGAATATGATGCTCAGCAAAATAAGACTCAGAAGGCCAAGAGTCATATATTTTCTCTATGAGGAAGCTAGAGGGGATGAAATAAAAGAAAGGTGGAGGTTTGAGGATTGAAGGGTGATCAGTGGAGTAGAAGAGGGGGCTCAGAAGGAGGGAGGGAGGAAAGGGGGGAATACTGGGGAATGATATTGGTATTATTGTATTGTGTGCAGGTGTGAATGTGTGACAGCGAACCCCACCATCATGTACAATTACAATACACCAATAAAAAAATATGGGGAAAAAAATCCTGAGTCTTTTAAATTTCATGAAGAATTATGAGGGGTTAGTGATTGCTATCTATATTTCACTTAGGGAAAAGCCACATTTCTTTTCCTTCTTTTTTTCTTTTCTTTTCTTTTTTTTTTGAGACATGGTCTCACTAGGTTATACAAGCTGGCCTCAAACTTGATGCCCTTGTCTCAGCCTTCTGAGTAGCTTGGTTATAGGCATGGGCATCCAATCGCTTATATGTACATTTAAAAATATATATTATTATTATTTTTATGCTCATAACCATATTGAGCAAAAAGTACAGTGTTTTCTCTGGATCCCTGGTTCTAATATGGGAACAGTGTCCCCACCACAGTGGTAGGTTTCTTATGCTAGATGATCATACCTTGACAACATATCATTATCACCCAGAGTTTACTTAGAGTTCATTCTGGGTGTTGTATAGTTTCTGGGTTTCGACAAATGCATGATGACATGCATTCACCATTGTGGTATCCTGCAGAATAGTTTCACTGTCCTGAACGTTCTCTGTGCTATGCATATTTATTCTTCCCTCCTTCCTGACTCCTGTCAGCCACTGATCTTTTAAAATCTCCACAGTTTTGTCTTTCCTAGAATATCCAGATAGACTTTTTTCACTCAGTGATAAGTGCTTAAATTTACACCATGTCTTTTCATGGCCTGCTAGCTCATGTCCTTTTAGTGCTGAGTTATGTTCCACTGTCTGGATGTACCACAGTGCATTTATCCATTCACCTACTTGAAGGACATCTCAATTGAAAAGCCTTATTTTTGTTTGTGGCTGTGTAGTTCTATGGCTCTGTAATCAGTGTGATCAAATCTGTCATCTTGCTTGGGAACAAAAGCCCCATTGCACGTGCATTTTAAAATTTTATTCAATAAATGAATTTTGCCCATATTCACCCCAAAGTGGCATCAACTAGCCAAGTACTGTGTATTCCAGAATGTGTTTTCTTTTAAATAGGTATGACTCCCTCACCGGGGTCCCAGTCAGCCAGCAGAACTTGCTGCTGGAGAAGGCCAGCATTCTGTTTAACATCGGAGCCCTCTACACCCAGATTGGGACCCGGAGCAATCGGCAGACGCAAGCTGGACTGGAGAATGCTGTGGACGCCTTCCAGAGAGCTGCAGGTGTGTCTTTGCCAGGCACAGCTGTGACCCCACCAGGTTGGCACTAGGGTGCCCAGCTGAAGAGGGTCTGGGTTTCTCCCCAGAGCTATGCATGGTCTCACAATCCTGAAAGGGGACCCGGCCGTGTTTAATACTGGTATAACTTCACATCAAGAGACCATTAGGTTCAGGCCATCATCTTAGTTTGGGATGTACACAGTGAGGACTTTGGTTAAGGATTCATCTTTTCCAAATGAATGGCCCCAGTGATGACACTGAGTAGCTGTTTCTTCCAACACTAACTATGTGGAAGAACAGAATCACTTTTCCCAATGAGTGAAAATGTGGGCTTTTTTATTTTTTTCTTTTATTAGGTGTACCTAATGCCTACAGTAGTCCCTCCTTGTCTGTTCAGGATATGTTCCAAGACTGATAGGAGGTGCCAGTAGGTTCGGGTGGTTCAGATAGTACAGAACCCTATGTAACTCTGGTTTTCCTATATGTAAAGATATATGATAATATCATAATGAAGTTTAATTTATAGATTAGACGTAGTAAGGGGTTAACATTAATAATTAATAAATAGAACAATTATAAAATATTGTCATAAAAGTTATTTGAATCTTATGAATTCTTCATTTCTGGAATTTCCCACTTAATATTTTTATACCACAATTAACTGAGTGTAACGGAAACCAAGGAAAGCAAAGCCTTGGATAAAGGAGGACTGTTATGTTACCCTCTGTGCTTTGTATCATTCTTATTCTGTCAAGTTCACCAGCCTGAAGTTGGTGCTCTCAGCCCTCTGCCAAGTGCTGTGTACTCTGCATCCTTAGTAGATCTGTTGCCTTCTACTGGGATTTTAAAAAATAATTTTTCCCCTTCTTTAACCTCTTAGCCTGAAATTTGTCCTGGTATGAACCAGATGCAGGATGGAGAAAAGCAACTTAGCACCAACCCCTAGAGGACGGGGATGCAGTGGGTGAGCCTGGTGCGGCTTCTATGCCTTCCTGGGGTCTGTGTGCTCCCCTCCAGCAGGGCCTGTGTCTGGGGCAGACTCAACATGGGAATGGTGGGCAAAAATAGTAGCACGGTGTAGACCGCAGCATGATCCTCTGAGTCTGCCCAACAGGTTTTTGCTGTCTGTGCTGATCCCCTGTTCTGCTTTGGGGTGTAATCACCCCTACTCCATCCTCTCCCCCAACATAGAACCTTTCCGGATACTCACTCAGGAAGCCCTGTAACCCTGTGTAGGACCACAGCTTTGTCACTTAGACTTATGGAATTTCTTGCATTAAAATTATTGGTGTTTGGGGATGAGACGTGGGCGTGGAATTGTTTTAGTGTATGTCCTTCTCTGGACTCATCTTTCTCCCTGAGGTATCCCAAGCAGGCATACGTTGTGACCTGTCTCGAAGATTCTAGAGATAAAAAGACAGAATGAAGCTTAAACAGTGGTGACCGTGAGGGCAGCCCCAAGGGGGGCAAACAGGCTGCAGCAGGTGCCATCCCTCTGCAGGGCAGCAAAACCAGAGGGACCAGTTGGATGGGATTCATGTGGCAGATTATATTTCAGTTCCAAATTGTTCTCATGACAGTTCATTTCCTAAAGTATGAAGTCAGCTGAGGGCCGCAACATGAACGGTGTGTCCATTGGAGCACTCTGGGTTGTTCTTTCCTGAGGTCCTGCAGTAGGGAGGGCTCTGCGTTTCTGAATGACTCAGGTGTCATGGGTGAGCAAGTCCCCTTGGAGCTCCCTCATTCATTCCACCTGCTTTCAGCTGTCACCTCCATCACATGTCCAGTCACGGGCAGTTTCTCACAGTTGTCCCCAGTGAGAAGGGGAGGGAGGGAACCAACTGGTTTCCTTGGTGATATACATGTACATGTTTTGGAAGCAAATCAATTTTTAAAAACTGTGATAAAGTATACATATTTACTGTTTTGACCTTTTTAAAAAAAAAAAAAAAATGCTGGGAGTTAATCCAAGGCCTTGTGCATGCACTGTAGTACTGAGCTACATCTCCAGCTCGCTTGCTCGCGCGCGCTCTCTCTCTCTCATATATATATATATATATGTATATGTATATATATATATATATATATATATATTGATAGACCTTTGTTTTATTTATTTATATGTGGTGCTGAGAATCAAACCCAGTGCCTCATACATACCAGGCAAGTGCACTACCACTCAGCCACCGCCCCATTGACATCCCTAGCTCTTTTTAAATTTTATTTTGAGATAGGGGTTTCACTAAGTTGTCCAGGGTGCTCTCAAAATTGAGATCTTCTGGCCTCAGCCTCCCAAATAGCTGGGATTATTACGCATGAGCCACTATGCCTGGCTATAATTTTTAACCATTTTTCATTGTGGTAAAACATGCATAAGATAAAATTCACATTTTAATCTTTTTCTTTTTGGCACTGGGGATTGAATCCAGAGGTGCTTTACCATTGAGCTATGTCCCCAACCCTTTTTAATTTTTGAGACAAGGTCTCACTGAGTTGCCTAGGGCCTCACTAAGTTGCTGAGGCTGACCTCAAACTTGTTGTGATCCTTATGCCTCAGTCTCCCGATGGCTGGATGACAGACATGCACCACTGTGCCCAGCCATTTTAACCATTTTTAAGTGTACTGTTCAGTGGTGTTAAGTACGTTCATATTGTTGCACAACTATCACCACCGTCCATCTCCAGGATGTTTCCATCATTCAGACTGAAGCTGTGTACCCATTAAATAATAACACTCTCTTCCTTCCCCCAGTTCTTATTAACCGGTACCCTCATTCTTTTTGTCTATACAAATGGGGACTATTCCAGGTACTTCATTAAATGAAATCAGATGATATTTGACCTTTTATGATTGGTTCATTTCACTTACCATAGTGTCTTCATTATGTTGTGGCTCGTGCCAGAATTTCATTCTTTTGACTTTGGAGTGGGTGCTAGGGTCAAATCCAGGATCTTGTGTATGCTAGGCAAGTGCTGTGCCCCTGAGTCACAGTTACACCCTTAGCCCTGCATTCCCATTTGGTTTTGCTTTTTTTTTTTTTTTTTTCTGGTACTGGGTATTGAATCCCAGAGTGCTCTACCACTCAACTACGTCTCCAGCCCTCTTTATTTTTCATTTTGAGGGGTCTCGCTAAGTTGCTCAGACTATCCTTGAACTTCTGATCTTTCCTCAGCCTCCTGAGTTTTGGGGATTATAGGTGTGCACCACCTTGCCCAGGTCCTGATTCCTTTTTAAGGCTTGAAAAATATTCCATTGTATGTATTTACCACATTTCCCATACTTGTTCATCCATCAATGGGCATTTGGATTTCTTTTCTATCTTTTGACTATTGTAAATAATGCTTCTTTGAACATGGATATGTCAGTTGAGTCTCTGCTTTCAGTGTTTTTTTGGTTATAAATGTAGGTGTGATGTTGCTAGATATATAGGAATCAGAGTTTTTAAAAAGATGCTATAAAACATTAGTTTGTGTATTACACACATATAATACATATATATATATACACACACAGACATATACGTGTGTGTGTGTGTGTGTGTGTGTGTGTGTATTTTTCTCCCCACGCTGGGACTAGAACTTAAGGCCTTGTACATACTAGGCAACTGCTTTCTACCTCCAATCTCAATTTTATATTTTTGTTCTATCATTTTCTATAGCAGCATGGTAAAATAATATGATCCCCAACTAATAAGCAAAAAAAAAAAATTATGATTTTAGGTGTATTAAGCTACCTGAAAGAGACATTCACGCATACTCCCAGTTATGACATGAGCCCCGCCATGCTCAGTGTGCTGGTCAAAATGATGCTTGCACAAGCCCAAGAAAGTGTGTTTGAGAAAATCAGCCTTCCCGGGATCCAGAACGAATTCTTCATGCTGGTTAAGGTGGCTCAGGAGGCTGCCAAGGTAAGGCTTCTCAGTTCCTGTGACTCTGGGGGGTGGGCAGAATCCATTGGTGCAGGTGCACTGGAAGTGACGGGGGTTCCCACGGCAGCAGCTTGCCCACCACCAGGGCAGCGTGCCTGTCCCAGCTGAGGCTGCTGCCTTGTGTTTTCTTGGCAAGTATCAGTGTTTCAGATATGGATCATTGATTCCATCTGCAGCTTGGCCTAAAAACCAGCATAATGACAGTTGCTGATCCCTCTGTTAACTCTCAGGCTGACAGCAGCAGGAGTTGCTTGGCACTGAGCCCAGATTATGGAGCAGCCTCTGGCAGAGGCTCCTGTATAGAAGAAAGGGATCTTTTTTTTGTACTTAGTTTCATGACGATCCTTGTGCTGGGCTCCCCCTTCCCAATATCCCTTCTGTTTCAGGTGGGAGAGGTCTACCAGCACCTGCATTCAGCCATGAGCCAGGCGCCAGTGAAAGAGAACATTCCCTACTCCTGGGCCAGCTTGGCCTGTGTGAAGGCCCACCACTACAGGGCCCTGGCCCACTACTTTGTCGCCACCCTCCTTATCGACCACCAGTGTAAGACTTGGAGGCTTCAGGGCTTGGGGCTTTGGTTGGAGGTTTGATCTTGCTGTCTCTGGGGGATTCTGAGCCAAGTACAGCTGCCTTCCTGTCTGGAGATGCTCACAGGCTGAAGGCAGAGGATGGGCAGTACATATCGATCTAGATACCTGTCACAGGCCAGGGCAGCATTAGGGGGTTACAGACTTCTGCTGTAGGAGCAAAAGGAGTGGTTTAATTCTCTCTAGAATCAGGCAAGTAATTTTTCACCTGGAATTTAGAATCTAAGGGGTGCCAACCACTCAGTTTTATTACTGGGTTTATATAACATTTTAAGGTAATATTTTTCTTTTTTTAAAAATGATGCTGGGGATTGAACCTAGGGCCTTGTGCATGTCAAGAAAGTGCTCTATCTCAGAGTTACACCCCTAGCCCTTCAGGGGGCAGTTTTGATCCAATTAGTACTATTCAGGACAGCCCCTGGAATAATTAAATGGACAGCCTCTGGAGCCAGACTACTTGGGTTCATATCTCAGTTCTGACACTAGCTGTATGACCTTGGACTAGTTACTTAACTGCTCAGTGCCTCAGTTTTCTCATCTGTAAAATGGAGATAGGAAGGGAAACTACCTTACGGGGCTGCTGTGAAAAAATAAGTGCCCGTATTCAAAGCTAAACCATGAACGTGTGAGCTGCTATTTCTAGTACGTAGTCTATTAGGTGGGAGAAGTTAGCTAAACAGATGGAAATACAGTGCTCCAGCAGTGGCTGTCAGGATATGAATGAGGCAGCAGCAGTCCTAAATGGCTTCTCAGAGTTAGTGATGTTTGTGGCTATTCCAGCTACACATAGAGGGAAAGAGCAAGCAGTGCCTGAGCATAGAAGCAGAGGCTACAAATGTGGAAGTGGTGTTGAGTGGCAGGTGAGGTTGGAGAGGGGTGTGGCCTCACCATAGGCATGGAGGACACCAGAGGTGTTTAGGGTGGGCAGCAACAGGGGCGGGACTGTGCCAGGAGGTTCCATGCAGCAGGTGACTTGGAGGAGATAGTGAGGGCTCAGGGCCCCATCATGAACTCCTGGAGTGTGGCTGGCACCAGGTGAGCAAAGGCCAAGGGGCTAGATTGCTTTGACTGTGTCTACAGGCAGAAAGGACACCCATAGCCACTAATGCCTGGTAAAATGGGAGATGAAAGGATCCTGGGGATGTGGTTGAAAGGGAAAATCTCTACATGGGGTGCGGCCCCATCTTCAGAGGCAGATGGGGATTTAACCTGGAGCTTAAATTGCAGTGAAGCCAGGCGCAGATGAGGACCACCAGGAGAAGTGCCTGTCCCAGCTCTATAACCACATGCCAGAGGGCTTGACACCTTTGGCCACACTGAAAAATGATCATCAGCGCCGACAGCTGGGTGCGTATGGGCCCTGTTCCTAGAACTGTGTCCAGCTTGCTGATAAGCAGCCCTGCTCATGAACAACCCTAGAAGGATCTCTAGGTGGGGGCTTGAAAGAGAAGGGTGTCCAGACTCACTGGAGCTACTCTGGATTCAGAAATTATGAGGTGCAACCCTCTAGTCTCAAAGGACTTTCAGAACTATGTTCTTATGCATTCCATAAATGCCCAGTTTACCCCCCATGGAACCAGAGCTTTGACTGTCTCCCAACACCACTGTGGCCCATGACATGGCCCTTTGCCATCCTAAGGTTGAAGGACACATTGTCAATTTTTTTATGCTTCACCAAGGGCGAGCAAGACTGGTAATGGATTGTCCTGGTTTTGTGTCTGTTTTGTGTCTCAGTGTGAGTATCTCTTTCCCTGATGTCCTTCAGCACCCAAACCTTCCGCCCACCCAAACACATGTAACTTCCCCTCTCTGGAGTTGTGATGTCAACTCCATCCCATTTGGTGCTTAGGCCAGAAACTTTGGGTTTACTCTGCATTCCTGCCTTTCTTTGTCACCTTACATTTGAATAGCAAACCTCATTAACTCTACCTAACAAACATCCCAAATCTGACTAATACCTTTTTTTTTTTTTTTGGTGCTAGGGATTGAACCCAAGGGTGTTTAATCACTGAGCCACATCCCCAGTCCTTTTTATTTTTTATTAAGAGACAGGGTCTTGCTGAATTGCTTAAGGCCTCACTAAGTTGCTGAGGCTGGCTTTGAACTCGAGATCCTCCTGCCTCAGCTACTATAGTGAGTCACAGCGATTATAGGCATGCACCATCACACCCAACCTAACTAGTTCTTATCCTCCCACCTTGGTCAAAGCCACATGCCGATAGTGCTTACCTAACAAACATTGGCTTGATTAAACTCCACCCAACTCTATGAGATAGGTCTGGTGGGCTTCCCACTTTACTATTGAGGAAACAGAGGCTCAGAATGGTTATACCGCTTGCCTTGCTCATAGCTAGTCTCCTTGCTTCCCTCTGTTCACACAGAGGCTGGTTCCTTCAGTCCTCTGCTTACACCCTGATGGGTTCCCATCTTGCCCACGGTAGGAAGAATAAGAGTCTTTATCCTGACTCATAAGGTCAGGCACAACCTGGCCCCTGCTCTTCTCTCTCATTCTCTACCCTTCTCTCCTATTCCCCATTCCCTTCAGCTATATCCTCAATTCCTGTTGTCCCCCCCACCCTTTTTTGGGGGGGTTGCTGGGTATCAAACCCAGGGCCTTGTGCATGCAAGGCAAGCACTCTACCAAATGAGCTATATCCCCAGCCCTCCTGTTGTCCTTGAAAGGTAAGTGAGCTCCTGCCCCAGAGTCTTTGTACTTACTGTTCCTTCTTTCAGGAATGCTTTTTATATCATTTCCTTCAGGGCTCTGCTCAGAAGTTACCTTACAAACAAAAATAATTTTAAAAACAAAACAAGTTTATCCAAAAAGCCTTCCTTGATCACCCATCACAGAATAGGTCCCATTCCCAATCTTCTAGCACGACTGCCTACCTTGCTTCACTTTTCTTCATAACCTCATGACCACAGATCCACCACATGTATCTTTGTTCCTTAATTATCTGTCTTCAACTAATAGCATGTAACTTCATGAATGCAAGGGCAAATTTTTGTTCATTGCTTTATCTGTACACCTAGAATACCCAGTCAGTGTTTGTCGAGTGAACCCTTAATAGACATAAATGAGCATTTACACTTGTATCTCAGTGGGGGTGGGGCTCAGCTGTCAGCGAGATCCTTTATAAAGGAGAATGTTTGCCTTTTGGGCTGATCCTTGGGTCCTTTGTGTCTCTGTGATATATTCATGTTGGTGGTGGCTTTCTGCCTACAGGAAAATGCCATCTGCGCAGAGCTGTCACTCACCACAAGGAGTCTGTGAGGGAGGCCAGTCTGTGCAAGAAGCTCCGTGACATCCAGGTACTTCAGGAGGTGCTGTCTGCCGCACATCAGCGCTCTCGGCTCAAGTACAGTCAGTACCAAGAGGACGATGATCTTCTGAACTTGATCGATGCTCCTGATATTGTTTGTGAGTGTCTAGAACTATGTGCCTGTGTCTGCTGTGTAGACTGTGCCCTGCATGGGAAACCAGGGTACCTGGCTAAATGCAGCATGTATGTGCTCACCCTTCAGAGATTACACAAGCTCTCACTGTGTGGTGGGCCCTGGAGGGACTGAGTGTTGCTCCTGCATGGCCTTTTCACTTCCTAGTTCCCCCTCCAGGGGCTTCTTCATGATCTCCACCCTCAGGCATCTCTTTAGCCCCTGTCTCCTCTCCTGACCCTCAACTCTCATCCATTTGCACTGGATTGCCTGCCATCTTGGTCCTGTTTTTGCCTCCTTAAGCTCTCCTTCTTCATCCCCTTGGCTGATGGTTATTCTTGCCTAGTCTCACCATAGACACCTCCAAGCCTCTAGGTATCTGCTCTTCCTTGTTTTCCTTCTCTAGACACACACCTATGTCCCCCCCCCCCCCCCCCCCCTTTTTTTTTTTTTTTTTTTTGCAATAGTGGGAATTGAATCCAGGGTCTTACACACACTAGGCAAGCACTTTACCTCTGAGCTATCTCCCCAGTCCTTTTTATTTTTTATTTTGAGACAGCGTCTCACTAAGTTGCTGAGGTTGGCTTTGAACTTGTAACCCTCCTGCCTCAGCCTCCTGAGTAGCTGGGATTACAGACAGGCACTGTTGTGTCAGCTCTAGACCCCTTTCCATTAGGTCTCAGGACCTTCTTTGTGTTTTCAGTTGTCACTCTAGTCAGGAGACCCTTGGAACTTTACACCCTTCACAGTTTCCTACTCACCCACATTTCCAGCTGCCTTCTAGGAAACTGCATTTTACTCTCTTTTACTTTCAGCTCCCTAGTTTGAGAGCTAAATGCATCATAATTTCCTCTCCTGGGCTTCCTGATATCCCCTTTATTTTTCATCTTTTATCACCACCAGAATTTCTAAAAATCTCCCAGGTGATGTGCACAGCAATGGCTTAGGAATATACACATAGCTGAACCAGACAAATGTTGCTGTCCTCGGGCAGTTGGTGGTCACTTCTGCCCAAGATGGTAGGGAATGGGAAGGCCTCCCTCCAGTGATGGCTTTGCTGTGAGAAATGACTAGGGTCTTTCCTCTAGGTGGGGGATGGTCGGTGGCCCATTTTGGGGAACCCCATTGTCCATCCCCTCCTGAGTACAGAAAAAAAACTAACTCAAACTCAGTTTCTCCTACTACATGCTCACAGCACGGATCACTCCTGACACTAGATATGTGCAGGTTTGTTCACACTCCAAACGAACAATCAGTTCTGCAGCAGGTGCCGGCTGGGTGTCCTCTGATCCAGTTCAGCACTGATACTGTCTACCCAGAGGTAGCATCAGATCTCTCAGGTTGAAAACTTGGACGCCAGGGTTATCCCTGCCCCACCTCAGATGCCAATTATAGACATCACATTTCTAAACATCACGTTGTTTTACCTGTATTTCCCACAACTCTTCTTCAATTAAATTTAACTACAGCCAGGAACAGTAGCACCTGCTATTCAGTTATTCAGGCAGTCTGAGGCCGGAGGATCACAATTTTGAGGACAGCCTCAGCAACATAGAAAGAACCTATCTCAAAAAATAATAATAATAATTTGTTACAACAGCTCACAGAACAGAACTCAAGGAAACCCTTAATTATACTGTTTAGTTTGAAGTATATTACAAAGGATTCAGATGAAGAGATGCGTAGGCTGAGGTCTGGGGGAAGGGACGCAGAGCTTCTGTGCCCTCTCCAAGTGTGCCACCCCCCAGGAACGTCCATGGGTTCTCCTACCCAGGAACTCTCTTATTCCTGTCCTTTGGGGGTTTTATGGAGAATTTCTTTGCAGAGGCATGATTGAAACATGGACAACCTTGTGGAAATGTGACTGGACACAAAAGGTGTGATCTAATGCTCATAGGCTGGGTGGGGAGACCCACCAAGGCCTGTCTGTTCAGCAGTCTGCTTGGCCTCTTTACACCACATGCCTCTCTCAGGGGCAGGAGCCGGACTCCTTGAATGAAACAGGTCTTGTGACCTACTATCAGAAGTCAGAGAATTTCTTTATGGCAGCTTGTAGACAGCTTTCTTAGGAGAAGATAAGAGTTTTTATGATTTGCCTTGGGGACGAGAGATTCTAGTTTCTGTGGCCTGCCTTGGGAAGGGAGTTGTGAGCTAAGGACCATGGTCAAAGCCAAAAAATGTTTATCATTATATCACCCCCTCTTTCCCACACCTCGGTTCTCCGTCTCTGGGGATCCCTCCTGATATTCAGGGACCAGCTATTAGAGACAGGGTCCTGCTCAAGCCAGAATCCTCGGCTCCTCTGTAATAATGTTAGTTGTTGTCTGTTGAATGTTTGAGGTCTACCAGGCATGACAGTTGGCCCCGTTTGTATACATTCTATTTCATCCCTCTTCCACTGCTGTGAGGGAGGTACTGATTACTGCGTTGTATTAAAGATGAGAAAGTAAAGGCCTAGGGAGATCCAAATTCTTGCCCAGGTCACCCACCTGATGGAATAGCACTCAGGGATTCTCCTAGGAGGTAGAGACTTAAATTCCACAGAGGGAGGGAGATAGGCAGCTCTATTGATGGCAATGCTGCCTGCCCCCCCCCACACCCCCCACACACCCTTTGTTTTTACTTCCTGTGGTGCTAGAATGGAACTCAGGGCCTCGGGCATGCTAGGCAAGTGCTCTGCCACTGAGCTAAACCACCAACCCAAGCACACCCTTGTAGCAGATGAGCAGCCTGCCTGAGCCCAGCACTGTGTTAAGAATTTGCAAGAAGCCCCAGGGTCATCATGTGGATAGCAGGGTATGATACGCCCTGGTGGGACCTAGATTTTCTTTTCATACTATTGTTCACGTGTATTTAGCCTTCTCTGGGAGCCTTTGTTAGAAACCAACTAGCTTTCCAGTAAGGCTGGGCCTGAGCCTGCCATAAGGTCACTGTTGAAGATTTGTAGATAATGATGGATGTGACTGGGGCAAGGTCACTGCCCACTGCAGAATCCTCACATCACATAATTAATGATGAAATCAGGAAGCACACTGTTCCCAGGACTGTGTTCTGAGACACACAGATCTTCTGTTAGAGCCATACCAGAAACAGTTTGCTTCTCTGCAGGGTTTATGAATGCTGAAGAAATTGCACCAGAGTATCAATAAGCTCCTGGGGGAGGAGGGATGTGTCTGGTCATCAGTCCTCTGTCCCAGCCCTGAATGGATTATAGCTCAAAGCAGGTACCCCGGTGGGAGGCACAGTCACCTGGGGCCAGGGGTTGAGACACGTTACATGTTTTGTACTACTTCTCTAAGCCAATGGGAGAGACTGAGAGGGAGAGAAAGTGGTGTTTCCCCTTCCCTTCTGAGGGAAGACTGGAGACCTGAGTTTTCAAGGATTCACTTTCTTTTTTTTTTTTTTTTTTCTATTTGTTTTTATGTGGTGCTGAGAATCGAACCCAGTGGCTCACACATGCTAGGCAAGTGCTCTACCACTGAGCCACAACCCCAGCCCTCAAGGATTCACTTTCCATGATAGAAACATTTATCCTTTCATTTTCAATCTTCTTTTCTAGCTAAAACTGAGCAAGAGGTTGAAATCATATTGCCCCAGTTCTCCAAGGTGACAACAACAGACTTCTTCCAGAAGCTGGTATGTTGGACATTTATTTTAAAGGAAATAGCTTTTAAATTTTGGTATATATTGTCTTAGTCTGTCCAGGGCGTTATAACAAGATACCATAAACCCAGTAGCTTATAATCAAGAGAAACTTAAGTCTCCTTAGTTCTGGCAGCTGGCAAGTCCAGGATCGAGGCACTGGCTGATTCAGGGTCTGATGAGGCCTGCTTTCTGGTTCTTGGTTGACATCTTCTTGCTGTGTCTTCAGATGATAGGAGAGGAGAATGAGCTCCCTAAAACCTACTTATAAGGGCAACAGTCCCTTTAATGAGGGCTCCCCACTCATGACCTAATCACTTCTTCAAAAGGCCTCACCTCCTAATAATCATATTGATTAGATTTCAACATACAAATTTTTGGAGAGACACAAACATTTAGAAAATAGCATTCCTTAAGAGCTAGTTTTAGATATTTTAGAATTTTATATTAGAAGTTTTATTTAAGATAATTCCTAAAAGCTAATTTTATTTAAAATATATTGGCTATGTTAGGAAAAAAAAATGGCAATTAATGTTTGTATATGAGTGTGATAGCACATATAGCCCCTGAACAAGGCCAAAGGAAATCTTCAAGGACAACAGACAACATTCCTTTTAGCTTTCAAATGTATGATTCAGAGCTGGGCACGGTAGAATACACCTGTAGTCCCAGCTAATTGGGAGGCTGAGGCAGGAGGATCTCCTGAGCTTATGAGTTCAAGGCCAGCCTGGGCAACATGGGGTGCTATCTCAAAAAGTCCAATTCCACCTTCAAACCCTACATTTAATGATGATCTCTTTTAAAGGGCCCCCTGTCTGTGTTTTCTGCTAACAAGAGGTGGACACCTCCCCGAAGCATTCACTTTACAGCGGAAAAAGGGGAAGTGGGGTTCACCTTGCGAGGAAATGCTCCAGTTCAGGTCTACTTCCTGGATCCTTCCTGCTCTGCTGCGGTAAGCCTGCTGCTGTCTGGATGGGAGAGAGCCCACCAGCAGCTTTACACAGAATCAGGCTGGGAAGATAGAAAGCAAGCAGCTCAGATGCATACATCTAGGTGATAGAATTCGGGGTTCATGGATGTCAAAGGTCTGACTTGATATGAAAGGCCTCTTGGGTGCTACATGCCCAAAGAGAACTATGAATGAAGTTTTGCTCTCTCAAAGCAAAGTTATGCTAATGTCTACTTTGTTCATGAATCTGGGGACTGAATCAGGTATTTAAATGAACAGAACAACACTGACCTTTTTTAAACAATACTTTTGTAGCTGGCAGGAGCCAGGGAAGGAGATTATATTGTTTCCATTCAAGGCGTTGATTGCAAGTGGCTGACGGTGAGCGAGGTTATAAAACTGCTGAAAAGCTTTGGTGAGGAGGAGATTGAGATGAAGGTGGTAAGCCTCCTGGACTCTGCATCCTCCATGGTGAGCACCCCTAGCAGTAAATAGCAGATTGATGTGAAATGGGCATGAGTTTGGCCTCTGAGGCCTTTTCTGTCTCCCACCTGCATAACGTGACACAAGTAACTGAACTCCTAAGCTTGTCAACCTGAGTATGTGCCCAGCGTGGGCCAACGATAACTTGAAATTTTTTTCTTTAATCCTGTAGATCAAATAGTTTTCTGATTGTATTCTATTTAATTACAGAAGTAATACATACTCATGTTAAAAAAAAAGTTCAGATGGAGCTGGACCTGGTATCATGTGCCTAAATTCCAGCTACTTTGGAGTCTGAGGCAGGAATATTACAAGTCTGAGGATAGCTTGGACTACTTAGGAAGACCTTGTCTCAAAATAAAAATTTTAAAAAATGGGTAGGAATGTAGTTTAGTGATACAGTGCTTACCTGCCTAGCATATGCAAGACCCTGGCATCTCAAAAAAAATAAAAAATTTTTTTCAATGGTACAGAAGGCGTTAAGCCAGACCCAATGGTGCACACCTGTAATCCTGGCAGCTCAGGAGGCTGAGGCAGGAGGATCGAACATTCAAAGCCAGCCTCAGCAAAAGTGAGATGCTGAGCAACTCAGTGAGATCCTGTCTCTAAATAAAATACAAAGTAGGGCTGGGGATGTGACTCAGTGGTTGAGTGCTCCTGAGTTCAATCCCTGGTACTTGCCACTACCACCCAAAAAAAAGATACAGAAGGGGTTAAGATGTTGTGTGGAGGGCTGGGGATATAGCTCAGTTGGTTGAGTGCTTGTCTCACATGCACAAGGCCCTGGATTCAATCCCCAGCACCATAGGAAAAAAAAAAAAAAGATGATGTGTGGAAGTTCAGTTCCACAACTCAGAGACAGTGTTATTCATGTCCTATGAGATCTTGGGGAGTTTTTAATGCTTCTGAAAATTCATGTACATAGTTATATCCTTTAATTTTTTTCCTCAGTGGAAGAAACTATATCATAGGTTGTCTTCTGAACTTTACCACACTTAACAATGTAACTTACACTGTCCCTTCTATAACATTTATTCATTTAAAAGATATTGACTGAGCAGGCTGTATATCCCTGTGTTAGTCAGTTTTTCATTACTATCATAAAATAACTCAGATAGGATGCTTATGAAGAAAAGAGAATTATTTAACTCACAGTTTTGGATGATGGAAGTCCAACGTTAGGTGACTTCACTGATTTGGTGGCAGCTGAGGACTTTATGGCAGAAGCATGTGCTTTATTGGAGACATCACATCAAAAAGCAGGAAACAGAGCCACCAGGTTCTTACAGTCTCTTCCAAGGGCCTGCCCCCATTTGACCTTTGGTCCTCCCAGTAGGTCCTACCTCAGTATTGCCACACTAGTGGCCAAGCTCCCAGCACATGAATCCTCGAGGACAAACCACCTCCAACCATAGCACTGGTGCTTAGGTGTTTGTACTAGACAGAGAAGGTCGCTACCCCCTAGAAGCTGGCACTAAACAAGCAAATAACTGGTTGCATTTTGAGAAATGCTGTAAAGAAAACACGTTGCATGGCTGAATGTCTGAGGGGAGGGAGACGCTCCTAGACAGGGCTGTGAGTGGCAAGAAGGAAGGAGCCATTGACGAGCAGAAGAGTGTTATGGGCAGAGGTACCCACAGGTGAAGAGACCCTGCAGCTGAACGAGCTGCTGCCAGGAACAAAAAGGTCTTTCAGCCAGAGCACTGGGGGAGAGTGGGGAGGAAGTGAGGTGGGAGCCTGGGAGCCACTGAAGCTTTCATGAAGGGCAGTGGCCATGGTGTGATGTTTACTTAGGAGGCTGGCCCTGGCAATTGTCCAGGCCAGTGACGTTAGTGGCTTAGCTTAGACTTGGTGGTGGCAGTTGCGGGTAGAGCGAGGTGGATGCACCTGAGGTGCAGTGTGGGGTTAGAGCTGACAGGGTGTCCTATAAAGAAGGTGTTGGATTGGGGGGAGACGCCTCAGTTTTTGGCTTAAACGAGTGCATGAGCAGTGATTATCTCTCATAAAGTTGGGGATCTGGGGGCAAAGGAGGAGGAGGAGAAGAGAAGGAAGGCAAGGATTGTGCTTTGGGTGTTTCAGATGCTTCATCCAGATGTAAAAGTAGGTAGTTGGGTGTTCACGTCTTACAGGGAGAAGTCAGGGCTCAAAGTTAACATTTGAGAGTTATCAGCTTGGAGATGATAATTAAAGCTGTGAGACTAGATGAAATCACCCAGGAGGGCTGTGGACTGACCCTGAGACACTCCAAGTGTCTCAGATCAGTTAGAAGAAGAAATGGAGAAAGAGAAAATTCAGAGGGAGAGTTCAGAGAGTCAGGCTAAAAGGAGCCTCTGGAACCAAGAGAAGATCCTGCAGCCGGAGTGACCGGTTGTGTTGAATACAGTTAAGAGATGGAGAATTAGGGAGGCTGAGCCCTGTCTTCTGCATTTGGCAATGGGACAAAGGAACAGTTGTTCTGGACTGATGAAAACAAAAATCAGGTTAGAGACGGCTGGGGAGTAAATGGATGGTATTACTCCATTAATGGGAAATAGACAGACAGTGAGTGGTTACCAGAGGTGGGAGTGAGAGCCACTGCTGAAGCACGGAGGGGTTCTCTTAGGGCAGAGGATGTGTTCTGATGTTAGGTAGCTGCGATTCTCACACAATTCTCTGAATTTACTAAAAATTGCAGAACTCTATTAAAATGGTGAATTTAGAGCTGGGGTGTAACAGTGGTAGAGCACTTGTCTAGAATGCATGAGATGCTGGGTTTGATCCCCAGCACCACAAAAAAAAAAAAAAAAATTGAACTGGTGAATAACATCAGTATAACATGTGAATTATATCTCAATCACAAAATTGACTCACAGAGCATCTTGGGAGAAGGGCTCAAAACATGTTGTTTGCAGGATGAAATCCTTGGAGTCTCTGGATTGAGGTCCTCAACTGCAACAGAAGTCCATTTGTCTAAAAGGAAGTAAAATTAGTCTGAAGGTTGCAGGCCAGGGCACAGCCAGAGAAGTCTGACTCCACAGACAGGCTTTGCTGCTGGAAAGACACTGAAAGCCTTGTCTTTCAGTACTGTTGTACCTTTGAACCTGGCCAATGAAGAATCTGACATGGTGGTTAAAACAAGGACTCAGAACACAGACTGTCTGGATTTGAATCCTGTCTTTACCACCAGATGGTGACCTTGGGCAAATCAGAGGACACCACTGAGCCTCAAAAAAGTGGGGATGATAGGACCCCATCCTTGGATTTTTATCAGAATACACTGAGCTGGTAAAGCCCTTAAACTAGCTTCTAGTGTGGGACACATTTCTTTTTATAAAAGGTATTGTAATAATAACCATAATTGTTGTGGTTATTTTTTTTACCCAATAATAACTTTAGATAATAACAGTTGAGCACTGTTTTTGTTTTTTTGGGGGGGAGAGGAGGCTGTACTGGGGATTGAACCTATAGGTGCTCTACCGCCAAGCTACATTCTCTCCTACCCCTACCTTCCAGTACTGGGTATTGAACCCAGAGGTGCTGTGCCACTGAGCTACATCCCCAGCCCTTTTTGTTTTGAGATAGAGTCTCACTAATTTCCCAGACCGGCCCCAAATTTGCAATCCTTTTACTTCAGTATCCAGAGTAGCTGGGATTACAAGCATGTGCCTGGATTACACACATGGCTTTGAACACTGTTTGAACTGCCTTTCTTTCAAGCAAAACCAAAGGGTGAGAATAAATAAAGCACAGTGCTCTGGCAGAATTGATTGCCTGTTACCCACGCTCTCTTGATTACGTTGGAATCCCTAGTGCTCTTCCATGGTATGCATAGTGAAAACTACTGATAATGGTGGAAAGAATCCAGGCCGGGGTTGTGGCTCAGTGGTAGAGCACTTGCTTAGCACGTGTGAGGCACTGGGTTCAATACTCAGCACCACATATAAATAAACAAACAAACAAATAAATAAAGGTGTTGTGTCCATCTACAACTAAAAATAATTTTTTTAAAAAGAGAAAAGATTAACCAAAGTCTTTGTGTAGCTCAAGAGCTCATTTCTTTAAAAAAAAAAAAAAAAAAATGGAAAGAATCCAAGGCTGAAATGAAATCGAGACTTGGAATCAGACCCTGACTGTCATCAACAACCTGTGTGACCTTCAGTGGGTTAATGTACTCCCTGGGCCTCATTTTTTCTCATCTAAAAAATGTAAGAGTTAGATCAGTACAGTGGTTTCAGATGTGTTCTGAAAAACCCTACGTGTTCCAGGGAGGTGCCCCAGAAAGACTTGAGGAGTGGGTGTTGGGGAGCATGCTGGCTGGATGAGAACAGGGGGGAAAATAGTGAGAGGAAGGAATGACCTGTGAAATGGAGTAGAGAGATACTAGGGTGGTCCTCGGAGGGGAATAGGGTCAAGGAAGGCTTTTCAAAGAATGTGGGGTGTGCGTGTGCACACATGCGTGCAGAGATAGCAGAGCAAGCTGTGCACAGAGGGGAAAGGTCTGCAAGGCAGGAAGGCAGGAAGGATGGATCTTGCAGGAGAGAGGGAGTGGAATCCAGGCACAGAGGAGGGCTTGTTCTTTGGGGACCGATGCAATTAATTATAAGCAAGGCTAACAGGAGAAAATGTGAGTGAATTGAGGAGAGAGGGCATGGCAGGTATCTAGGAGAAAAGGATTGACATGACTTGGGAAAGACAGGGGTGCCAGGTGAGCAGGCACCTATTCAGAGGTTTGGTGTCAGGAAGCCAAGCTCCTTGGTAAATGTGTCCAGCAGCGCAGCTGTTTGCATGCTGGCCTTGGGGAAGAAGAGTTTAACTGGAGTTGGCCAGAAGAGGATGGAAGAGAACTGAGGGTGTTTGTAAGAGTGGCTATCCTGATGCATGGCAGACTGAGCTGGTTAAGGGTGGAAACTGTTTTCAGCCTTCAAACGTGCCTCCAGAATGTTGGTTTCATTATTGTTTTTGTTCTGGTTTTTTTTTTTTTTTTGATACTGGAAATTGGACCCAGAGGCACTCTCCCGCTGAACTACAACCCTAGCCCCTTTAATTTTTTATTTTGAGACAGGATCTTACTAAGTTGCTGAGGTTGGCCTTGAACTTGTGATCCTCCTGCCTCAGCCTCATAAGTAGCTGGGATTACAGGTGTGTGCTACCACATCTGGCTATTTCATTATTGTTTTTAATGATAGAGTGTGCCCTATAAAGCATGGTAGGATTAAAGCTTAGTTTTATAGAAAAGAGAGAAGAATCTTCATCCCAAGAAACCAAATTCTTAAGGGGAATAACAGTAAATACCACTACTTGGTTGTGCCTAACTCAGATTCCTCCTTAGATTTATATTATGAACAATGTACCACTATAGATATGTTGTATGTATGTATGTATGTTTCTATAAATGGCCTGATTTTTGTGCCTAGAACATAGTATATGTTCAGTAAACATTTAGTGAATGAAGCCATCTCAAATGTTAGGCCAACTTTAGAAGCAGGTGGTTTAGAAAACAAGTTTCCTTAGATTTCCTACTTGAACCCCACTTAATTTGTTCCAAGTTAATGTTTAATTGGTAGAGTTTCAATTGGGGAAGATGAAAAAAATTCTAGGGATAGAGTGGCAATGATTGTACAATAGTGTGAATATATTTAATACCACTGAATTTTGTGTACATTTAAATATGGTTAAAATGGTAAATTCTGTTATTTTTTAGCACTTTTTCTTTTCTTTTGTACTGGGATTGAACCCAGGGGCATTTTTACCACTGAGCTACATCCACAGCAGTTTTTTATTTTTATTTTTTGAGACAGTCTCCTTAAGTTGCTGAGGCTGGCCTTGAACTTGTGGTCCTCCTGCTTGAGCCTCCCAAGTTGCAGAGATTACAGGTGTGCACCACATCTGGCTACATTTTTTTTTTTTTAAGGGGAAAAAAGTTAATAGCAGTGTCTTCATGATGGATTCTATATTGTCCTTAAAGACAATGAAACTGATCTACATCTACTGGCATGGATTGAAATCTAAGTTCTGTTAATTGAAAAAAGCAGGGTGCAGTATAGTGTGTATTCCTTTTAAGAAGACAAATGGTGAAGTATACTTATGCACACATATGCACATTATCTCTAGAAGTATAACACAGTAGTTACCTTGGAGGGAGGGCCTGGAAACCAGAGGAAGACCTACTGTATTTTCCTATTGTTTACCGTGGTTATTTTACTTTCTCAAAATAAGAACCTTAAAAAGTGAGAAATGGTTCCCAAGCCTAAATTACTACTACTGAGTATATTTCTTAAAAATTGTCCTTGCTTTCAAGGGTCAAATTCTATGTAAACACTGGTCACCCATGTTTCAGAGTTAATCAGCTTGAAGAGGCTAAGTGCAGACTGTCTCAAACTTTATAATAATTTACTAAGTATCTTGAAGATGTCTGACATCTTTTTTCCTTCCTTTTCTATGTGCAGCATAATAAGAGTGCCACGTACTCTGTGGGAATGCAGAAAACGTATTCCATGATCTGCTTAGCCATAGAGGATGATGATAAAAGTGATAAAACCAAGAAAGTCTCGAAAAAGCTTTCCTTTTTGAGTTGGGGCACCAATAAGAACAGACAGAAGTCGGCCAGCACCTTGTGCCTCCCTGCAGTTGGGGTGGCAAGACCTCACATCAAGAAGAAGTTCCCCACTCCTTTCAGCCTGCTCAACACTGATAGCTCTTTATACTAATGGGAGGAAACAGAAATGTTCAGGCCCCAAATGTTTCTAGGGCTAACTAGGCCTTAAAATTTGTGCCATATGGAAAATATCCAAATATGCTCAAATCCCATTTTGTCACAGTGTAAACTTGTATTTGACATGCTTTTAAGAAAGTAACAAGAAACCTCTAGAAATTTGTGGAAAATATGCTTATTTGAGGAATGTCACTATATTGCTGCAAGATATTTATTCTATAAAATATTGTAAATAGAATAGTATGGATATTATGGCTGTTTTCAGTGGTTACAGTTATAAATTTCAGGCGCTGAGTTAAATTGGGGTTTCCTATAAAAATAGAACTATTTGTAAGTGTTAAAGTTTGGATAATACTCATTCCTTAACCTAGAGTTCAGAGGACCCTTGAGTTAAGGCAGGTCGGAGGACTGTGACAGAATGAAATTTGTTACTAGAAACTGCTCCAAAGAACTGCTTCCTCATGGGAACTTACTAACGTGATAAGATTTTACTATTATTTCTACATAATATGAATGCTATTTCCAGATAAAGTCTAGTGCCAAATTTGTTTTGACTTTTTTTTTTTTTTTCTGCAGTCCTGGGGATTGAACCCAACTCAGAGCCCTGGGTTAGCCCAGAACTGCTAAAAATAAAACATAAAATAAAATAAAAATAATTTAGGAGCACCTTTTCCTCTAGTCCGACCATTTATAAGTTGCTAACACAGTGGCAGTGTTAGATGGAGATGCTGTCTACAGGGTAGATAATATACTGTTTGATACTCAAAACTTTATTTTTCGTTTTGTTTAAAGTAGAAAGTACATAACTATATATTTTTAGAGTCTTGGGTAAAAAAGTAGTTTTTATATTTTGTAAGGTAAAGATGTAAATGATTCAGGTTTAAAGTTCTATTTGACTTTTTAAATGAACATTCTTACCAATTTGATTTCTCTGGCTGTAACTTGGATGACACTGTGACTCTAATTAAAGATTCATGGTTGACATACAAATGACATAGCTTTTAAAGTATAGCTGAAATTTAATGTGAGAATTAACAAGTATTTTCTATTGTGCAATATCTTTAAGGAAGCAACCACCTTTGGGAAAGTATATCTACTGCTATTAGGGCCATGTTTGTATAAATATTTAAATAAACACCTTCATTTATCTGAGTTTTTTTTGCTTTTATTTTACTTTAATTCCTTCTTTCAAGTTTTCATTAACCTCATACACAAAATTTTTTTTTAAAATTTCTATTAGTTATTGATGGATCTTTATTTATTTATATGTAGTGCTGAGAATTGAACCCAGTGACTCACACATGCTAGGCAAACACGCCACCATTGAGCCACAACCCCAGCCCATGTGTTTGATTTTTAAAAATTACTAACAATTCATAAAACTGGTTATTTAATAACTTTTAAAACATATGGTGTTCTTAATTGTGTTTTGAATGGTAGTTATAACTTTTGCTCCACAGCCCTGACTCTCCTCACTAGATGCAGCTGCTTCTGTTTTCTTGTGTATCCCCCCCACTGTTGGGCATTCATCTATAAACACATTCTTTTCTTACTTACATACATTAACTTCTCATCTATAAATGGGGAATTTCACACTCTAGGCTTTCTGTGTTCAGAACACTTGTCCAGTGATTATAAACTGGCCACCCTCCCTCTGCCAAAAAAAGGAAGGAGAAAAATGAAGGAACAAAGGAACCATGAAAGGAGTTGTTGTGCACTTGTTTATTTACACTGGCAGACGAGACCTGAAGAACAGCACCTCTGAGTCCAAGAAGGAAGGGGCTTACGATACACAGGGCTTCATTGTGCATTAGTTTCCTTTTGATGGATATATCCACCACCTGAAAGTCTTTTCCATGACAGATGTAGGTCAGGGTCACTCATAAAAATCTGTCCTGTCTTTTTACTGAGAGTCCCTGACTCTCTTAGGAAGATTTGAGCTATCTTTCCCCCCAACTTAGCAGAATGAGGGCATTGCCACCTGAGGGTAACTTAAATTTTCAAACTTGACAGCAAAGCAGCATAACCACAGGCTCCATCAAGGCCTACCTCAGCTTTCACTAGATGCTGTAAGATTCTCTATTTTTGTTTTGTTTTGAGTGTGTGTGTGTGTGTTTTAATACCAGGTATTGAACCCAGGGACACTTAACCACTGAGACACAATCCCAGCCCTTTTTAAACTTTGAGATAGCATCTTGGTACACTGCTGAGGCTGGCTTTGAACTTGCGATCTTCCTATCTCAGCCTCCCCAGCCACTGGGATTAGAGGTGTGTGCCACTGCACCTGGCTTTTTTCTTGTTTTTTGAATATGAAAACCAGATCCTGTAGTTCATGGTCAAAAGGTGAAAACAATAGATGTGAGGGCAGCTGTCACCTGGACTGGGTGAAGAAGGTGTGGATTTGCTGTGCTACCACTTGTCCTACTACCAGCTCAAGTTCTTGAACAGAAGCGTTACTCAATTCATGGATACTTGGGAACTTCTGAAGCAGAAGGGAAGCTTTAACTTTTCCAACTCCTGGGATCTGCTGCACAGTTCGAAGGAGGTATGGCTCAGACAGTAGAGCCCGTTTCTTCTTGAGGAAAGGGTTCTTACTGGGTTCTTTGGATTGCTCTTGTACCTGAACCAGAAATTAAGGGAAAAACACATGAGTGCCCTCTAGAGGACCAGCAATTTTTAAAAAATAGTTTTCCATTTGGTTCACCTTGACTCATGGGTTTAAATGTTTTTATACACCATGAATATAAATTTTCAGACATTAGTGAAATTATTAAAAGATAGACCATATGACCACACTTAGCAAAACTTGAATTTTGTGCTAGGTTAAATGATGGCTACATCTAAATAAGATCTACTTCAAACAACCTATCAAGCTTGCCTTTCAAAGGAGAAATTTAGCCTTTAGTTACTGGAGTTTTCCCAAGGCAGATAATAGCATCATAATCATGGGAAGTTAGGAACAGTGAAGAAAGTGGTGTAGTGGAGAGGAATCCAGGAACCACATACTGTCACTTGCATTTCCAATTTGGTTTTCAACCCTAGCTGCAAATCAGAGGCGGGACTTAAAAAACATACACAAAATTGACATTCAGGCCCTACCCCCATGTTCTAATTTTTAATTGGTCACAGTTGAGGTCCATGTATCAATTTTTTTTCCCCCCAGTCTGGGGATTGCTCCACCACTGAGCTATATTTCCAGCCCTAAACTTTTTAAAAAGTTCCAGAAGATACTAATGAACAATCCAATGGAAAAATCAGTGAAGACAATGGAGAACCAATTTTTTTTTCTTTTAAATATTTATTTAGTTGTAGATGAACACACAGTATATTATAAACTTCCTTACTTCAACTTCTCAAGTTTTGATAAATCAACACAAGGAAAGACATTGGATTCATGGGTTGCAACTATGGCAAAGACAGATGCCAGCGTCAAGAAAGGATTCATAAAGGTCAGTTGAGAATCTTAATGAGGACAGGGCTATTGTGAAGGAGGAAATCGGTACTTACTAACTGAACAATGAGGCAGGATGCTTCTATCTGGTTGGCCACTGGAAGTAACACCATCCCTAGGTCCAGCACAGTAAACTTCTGGATGGCTGGGAAGTACTGTTCATTTATCCGTGTTTTTTCAACAACTACAATCCCTTGAAGGTTTCCAGACTTCAAAGAAAAGACAGTAAATCATTTTGTAACAAAAATCCCTTTCAAAGTTAAGAAAGCAAAAAGGAGGACCTGGGAGAAGTGGGAGGGAAGGGTAATGGGCAGTACAGAAAACGAAATTGACAGTTATGCATATATACAATTGACAGCATATATACAAATATATAACAACAAATTCTACTACCTTGTATAATTATAATGCACCAATAAATAAACAAAAACAAAGCTAGAAGGTGCTTAAATTGGCCCATAGTATAACACGTAAATTGTTCCAAGGGATAGAGAGAGTCAATGTTCAATTTCAGTTTCTTTTAATTCAGTACTTACATTTCTAACTCGAACAAGTCTTTTTCTGTAGCCATTTCCTGCCACCAAATCAGCTTCAGTAACATAAAGAATGCAGGATCTGCTGGACAGGTAAAAATCTACTGGTGTCAGTCCATCCTCAAAGACGAGTTTAATTTTCCCTTAAAATACGGAAACAAAATGAGTTCTGTGAACTTTGGATAAAAAGGCGGCAATATGTAATTTTTTTTTTTTTTTAATGCGCGGAGGAAGGAAAGGACATTTGACAAGCTGCCCACCGACCTTGCATCCCCTGCGCCAGCTGAGACCCGCGCCACTTCTCATTAGCTACAATATGCCCAAAGGGCACGTGCACGGGGCCTGTTCCTCCAGGGAGATTCTTTTCCATCGGTGGTCTGGACCTAAAGAGGGAAACGCAAGACGACACTAGGGCAAACTCTCGCGCACAGGGTCCCCCATTCCACTATGAAGCTAGGGGCCTCTTGGTCTCTCAAAGTCTTAAGAACCCGGAGATTTCTGCCCTCGTGAGCACCTCATTTTCAGCACCTGCCTGGGCCCTGGTGCCTCAGCTCAGTCCAGTCCGGAATTAGGACCCCACTTTCGCCCCGGTCCAGAGGTTCCCGAAACATTACCCGAGGCCGCCCCACTTCCGGATGCCAACCCGCCGGGCTCGCCTAGTTTTTCATTCTACCCGCCTTCGGCCTTCCACAGGGCCAGATAGGCTATGGTATCAGAGACGAGCACCTGAGATGACCAATAAGAGAACTGAAAGCGCGGACCGCTTCCTCACTGGTGGCTATTTAAACGGGACCCGCTAGTTGCCAAGAGCGACGGAGGTGGAAGTAACCTTGGCTCTGATTGGTCAAAGACCAAACACAGCCAATGGCAGGTGTGGTTGTTTCGAAGTCCTTTAAGGAAGCAAAAGCGTCTGGAGTTAGGCCCTTGGGAGGGAGACCGATTTTAAAGAGGAGTCCCCAGCTTTGGGGATCTATGCTTGTAAATCCAGCCCCGGGCCTGGCCAGCCCCTGCAGCAAGGATGCTCCGGGGATTTCGGAGAAGCCGCAAGAGCCAGTTCGTAAGTAGATTCAGGCCCTGCGTCCTACGCTTTTGTCTGTGCGGCCGGGAGTTAAGGAGGGAGAGTTTCTAGGGAAGGTTTGGTATTTGGCCTGAGATTGAGACAAGGCGGCGGCACCGGGGGAAGTGGTTTTTAGTTCGAGAGGCCCTAATTAGTCAGGTCTAAAGAATCATCTACCACAGAATCCGCCGCAGACAGACGGGAATCACTGTCTTCCCGGCAACATTCGCTTCGGTACTGGGGAGTTCGCTCCTGCCTGCTACAAGATGCCCCTCTGCTGGATATCCCCGCTAGGGAGTCCTTCTTGATTTCTCCCTCCATCACCCACCACGTACCCATCAGCAAATCCCATCGATTCTACCCACCAAATACCTGGTCTGCTTCCTAAACAGCTCATCACAAGTTTCTCTGCTTTCACCCTTGCTCTTCCCCGAGGTCCGTTCTCCACATAGAAGCCAAAGGAAATATTTTAAAACACCAATCTGATCATGCCACTGCAGCCTCTGGACTCTCCCCACCCCCCCACCGCACCCCGTTTCCCCAGCACTCACAGATCCACCCCCATCCCCCCACCCGCTCCAAGACACACCTGGATTGCTGCCCTCTAGATCTTCCCGTGGCCACACTGTCACTGTGTATTTATATTCCCGGTCTCATTCTCTCACTACCCCTGTTGTCTTTCTTACTTCCTCTAGGATTCTGACTCCCAACAATCCTCTGACACCTCCTTTCTCCTCTTCTGTAATTTATTGGTCCTACCAGCGGTGCGTTTTGTTTATTTGTTTTGGCGGTGCTGGGGATCCAACCCATGAATTTGCCTATGGTAGGCAAGCACTGAGTTATACCCCTGGTTCCTGTCCTACCAACTTTTAATGACCCACTGGTACCTCTCATCCTCGATGAGAGGATGTAAGGTCAGGTACCGGTGACCAAAAGGAGGCAGATTAAAAAGCTGCTGAATAAGACTTTATTGAGATTCGCTCCCTGGCGAGACCTTCCAGTCCAACAGAACGGGTCCTGGGGAGTCGCTACCGGGCTCAGCCAGATTGTAATTTTATCGGGCTTAGGGCAAGAAGGAAGGGCTTGGGACAGGAAAGGGAGGTTTTTAGGGTCCCTTGTCCTCCTGGGGTTGGTCGGGGGATCTTAGAGCTCCATGTCCTTCCAGGATCAGTCAGGAGACCCCGCTGATTAACAGGTGATTATCACTGCTTGTCTGAGGGCGTCTGATTGGTTGTTGCCTGGTGCTTTGTTTCCTTAGCCACCTCAACCCACCTGACACTGGGGATCATCTTTTCCAGCTGTAAATCCACCAGTCATCTTTATAATTACTCTCTTTAAACACCACCAACTCCCTTGTTCCAAACCCAAACCTACTGATACTGAATTTCCCACAAAATTAATATTAAAGTGCAGAAAAAGCATTGTAACAAGAGCACTCCTAAACTCTGTTTTAAAATAAGGCCAGAGAGCATGTCTCACTTGACTTTGTGTTATTAGCTGAAGTTATTTTAAACAGGTGGATGTTGAGAAGCATTCACCTTTTACATATATATATATATAAAGACTAGGGCCTCATCAAATTGCCAAGGCCAACTTCAAATTTGTAATCCTCCTGCCTTAGTCTCCTGAGTTGCTGGGATTAAAAGTTGTGTGCCACCACTCCCACTTTGAAGCCTATTTTTCCCTTGTAATTTTACTAACCCAAACCAGCATGTTCACTGAGTTTCTATTTGAAGCAATATATATTGTTGAGTTCTTGCTATGTGCAGATAACCACAAAAGATTGACAGCTGCACTATTCATAGGATAAATAAGTCCAAAAATAATTCAACACAGAATGGTAACATAAAAGCTACTATAGAGATCTGTACCATTGGAGAGGCAGCTAAGAATCCAGAGAGTTGAGCTGAGCCTTGGAGGTAGTAGTAAGGAAAGAGAATTCTGGGTGGAGAAGACAACAAATACCAAGAACTGAAAAAGAATCTATTATTTGCTTTTTGGGAAATGGAAGGAAATTCTGAGTGCCAAAGCAAGAATGTGTGCGGGGAGCTGTTTATATAGCTCAGTGGCAGAACATTTGCCTATCATGAGCAAGGTTCTGGATTCAATCCCCAGCATCACAAAAAAGGTAAAAAGAAAAAAAGATTCTGAGCAGGAATGAGGCAAGATTGCAAAAGATGAATCTAGGTCCATTGGTAGAAACCAACTTATAGAGACCTATGCTGTGCTAGACCACTTACATATCATCAAGAGAGTGGAGCTGTCTATGAGGATTTTCTTGCTGGGTAGAGATAGAATCATCTTGTCTTTCAGAGACCAGAGGTGAGAGGACCATAGTTGGGAAATGATTATAATGGCACATGTAAGAAATGTTCATCATACTATGAGGGATTTACTCTTTTGAAACAAAAACAAAAATCCTGAGGTCTTTTTGGAGGCCCTTCTAGATGCCAGCCCCTGGGGATTTGAAGGTTAAGAAGAAAACCCTTTCTTGTCCTTGCATATCTCCCAGGTGGTGGTAGGGGTGAGGGAGGAGACAGACATGTAAACTAAGTTTTATGACAAATGCAGAGTGGTATGCACCATACAAGAGAGGTAAAGAAAGTGGAGAGAAGTGGCAAAGACTGCTCTGCAACACCTGTTCCTGGGAGTGGCCCTGCAAATGGGACTAAGGTAGCAAGGAGACCCTTAGGTCTGCCCATCCCTCACTCCTGAGAGTTGTCCCAGCTGCACATCTCCTCCTCCCCTGTACTTTGTGTCTACTACTATTTGATTAGTCTTTGAAGGGTCCATTTTCAAAGGGTGCTCCTCACTAGACCATAGGATATCCTCATCTGGTTCCAAAGGCTTGCAAATGGGAATAATCCTCATTGTTACCCCCAGCCCACTGTTGTAGCTTTTCGCCTTCCAGGTGACTCTGTGACCTGTCAAACTAGGGTACTCATTATTTGCAGAGTACTATCACCAGTGTCTTGCTCCATTCCTCTGCTCACGCTGTGCCCAGAATGCTCTTCCATCACATTCCAAATGTGGGAGCAGTGACCATCTTTGAAGACCCAGTCTAAATGCCTCTGTGATTTTCTCCAAGGGGAACACTTGAAGTCCCCTTGCTGGCCCCCAGGACCTGAAGGAGCCCTTTCTTCCTTGGGCTACCTCAGCATTTTGTTTTTACCTCTTGCTTGTCACTCTGTAATTCTGTGTTCTAGATTAACTATTTGGGTGTTTTTCCTCTATACCTCCTCGAAGACAAGGTTTTCTCAATGTTGCATGGTGTCCTGCTCATAGGTGTGAGTGAATAGCTAGTGCCCAGAAAATAAAGATTGGGCTAGTCCCAGAAACTTCTGAGGGATCCCTGTTACATAAAGCAGGATCTGAATTTCATTTTATATAGGAGTGTTTTTCATTACTCTGTGTGTTTGAGATAAGCCATCTAAAACATTTATTAAGCTCCTACCAGATATAGGGCAGTGTGCTCAGTGCTAGAGTTCCAGGATTACTAAAGATAAGAAAGTCACCTTCTTCTTAGGAAGTCACCCTTCACAGCAGGGGACGCACAGGGGACATCACTGGGAGTACTACTATGGAACAAGTAGAGAGGCTAGGAGTGACTCTGGGATATGGTCCAGAAAGCTATTGTGAGGAGAAAAGGACAAGAGGACCCCCACAGTGGGCTCCCCTGCTGGGTGCACTAGTATGGCCAGAAGGGGATTGGGAGTGCTAGGGCAGGAGTGGGGCTCCTGATGGGGCTGGATCCCTCATTGACCAGTGCATGTTTCCCCTTCTGGGCATGGGAAGTGGTGGTAGTGACAGGACCAGTGATTACTCCATCCGAGTAACCTCTGCTGGGTTTCATTTGTACAGAAACACATCACCCCTGGCCTCCTCCCTGCAGCCACCATCGCTCCAAAACCAGCTGTACCTCGAACACCTCCTCCCCGAAGCCCTAATGTATCTCCAGAGAGACCAAGGTGAGTCTCAGATGAGCACACCCTGAGGTTACTCCTATCCTAAGCACCAAGTACTGGATCCTGGAACTATTAAAACACACACACACACACAAGTTCACAAGTAGGGTAATTAGAAGCACATCCTTTGAAATATTTACCACAATTCTATATTGCTGCACTTAATCTGGCTTCTCTAGGATAAAGAACTTACCTAGGGTCTCTCCAAGTAAGGTGTATGATCTCAAATTTTATGATTGGATGTAATTAGTGTTTTTCAAAATAAAAAAGCATTAGTCCAGTGCATAGGCACATGCCTGTAATCCCAGTAGCTCAGGAGGCTGAGGCAGGAGGATCAAGTTCAAAGCCAGCAAAACCGAGGTGCTAAGCAACTCATTGAGACCCTCTCTCTAAATAAAATACAAAATAGGGCTTGGGATGTAGCTTAGTGGTTGAGTGATCCTGAGTTCAATCCCTGGTACCCTCCCCCCAAATTTTTAAAATATTAAAAAGCATTAAAACCCGAGTGTTCAGGTTAATAGTACTTCCTTTATTCTTTTGGTGCTGGGTTTTAAACTCAGGGCCTTGTATGTGCTAAGCTCATACTGTACCATTGAACTACATCTCAGCCAGGTAACGGTACTTTAGAAAGAGTTTTGAATTGTGCACATAGTTTCTTTTCTTTTTATGATACCAGTAATTGACCCCAGGGGCACTTAATCACTGAGCTAGATTCCCAACCCTTTTTTTATTATTATTTTTAAAAAATTTTTAGTTATCAACGGACCTTTATTTTATTTATTTATATGCGGTGCTGAGAATTGAACCCAGTGCCTCACACGTGCTAGGCAAGTGCTCTACCACTGAGCCACAACCCCAGCCCTTTTTATTTTTATTTTTATTCTTTTAAATATCAACCTTTTTATTTTTTAATTTGGAACAGGGCCTCATTAAGTTGCTTAAGGCCTCACTAAATTGCTGAGGCTGGTCTGGAACTTGTGATCCTTTTGCCTCAGCCTCCTGAGTCCCTGGGATTGCAGGGATGTGCCACCACTCCTGGCCACTTGATTTTCTTTTTAAAAACAATCCTGTCTTTTAAAAGAACTGCTTTATGTTCTTTAAGAAGTACATTCACTGCTGAAATTTGACATACCCTATCCTCCAGTGCTCTGAAATAGCAGCTACCCTGACTCTCATTCCTAAGACACCCCTGCGTAGTGTACCTTTTAGACAGAGTTTGGGTCTATTTTTAGTCCATAGAAGACATTGACTTCTGGGTTATTAACAGTGAATAAGAACTAATTTCATTACAGGGTGGTACCTTCTTTTTAGTGTTCTTTGGTTCTAGAATGTTGTGTACCCTTGATTTAAAAAAAAAAAAAAAACTTCGAAGGGCTCAGTGGTAGAGTGCTTGCCTAGCATGCACTGGGTTCGGTTCCACTACCAGAGAAAAAAAACAGTGTGAAATGTTTAGCATTTGCTTTTTCTTCAGCACAGTCTGGATACCATGAAGAGTAGTAGTGTTTACTTTGTGCCAACTGCCTTGGTAAGTACTGAAGAAGCATCTCCTCATTTCTTCCTCCCAACAACCCCATGAGAGGGATCCTGTTTGTCATTTCTCTCTTGGTCACCTGCAAGGCTTGAGTATTAGCATCTGGCACAGATCTCAAGGCTGGCTAGAGGAGTGGCCTGGCTGTGGTGCAGATGTGGCTCTGCCCAACTCTTCAGTGTTTGTGGGAACAACTATGTTGCATTGTTGGGGCTTCATGCAACCATGGCAGTAGCTGGGGCTGGGGAGTAGCTTCCCATTCCATTATGCCCCAGAAAAACAAATAAAATGTATTATTTCATGGCAAGTCTTGTTTTATTAGAAAAATTTCATAGTATCCTGTGCTTTACAAAAATATTTTCCTAGGTTATGATCTTTATAACCCCCAAATAGTAGATATGGATTTGGCAAATTAGGCGTATTTCTAGATTTCAAAAAAATAATTTTTTTAATGACACCTCAATTAACCTTTAATATTATTATTCCACTTCATGTTTAATGCAAAGCCTTCTAGCAATTTACTTCTATTTCTTCCTTCCCATCTTTTGTGTGACTATTGTCGTAAATTTCCACTCTTTTTTAAAAAACTTAGTGCATTAATTATATGTAATAGCGGGATTCATAAAATTTTAATTCTACATGTAGAAATCCAAAAGTGCATTGCTACTGTTTTTGCTTTAGACAGTTATTTGTCTTTTAAAAGTATTTTACTGAGGTATAATATGTATAGTAAACTACATATTTAAAATGCATAATTTGCTAATTTTCAAGATACGTTTATCTCTGTCAAACCATTACAACATTAAAGATAATGATGCCCAAGAGATTCCTAAAACCCCTCTGCTATGCCTTTCTCTTGTTCCTCTCTTCCCATTCCCCTGCCCAACCCACCTCCACTCACAGGTAACCACTAACCTGTCACTGTAGATTAGTTTGTATTTTCTAGAATTTTATATAAGTAGAATTACATAAAATAATTATGCTGTCTTTTTTCACTTGTAATTATTTGAGATGCATCCACATTATTGTGAAAATCAATAATTCATCCTTTTTATTGCTGAGTAGTATATTTATACCACAATTTGTTTATCCACTCACCTGTTTCTAGTTTTTAGTTATTAGAATAAAGCTGCTATGAACATTTGCATATGAATATTTGGACACATGCTTTCATTTCTCTTAGGTAATTAGGAGTGGAATATTTGGGTTATGAGACAGACGGGCATTTAATTTAAGAAACTGCTAAACTATTTTCTAAAGATGCTGTTCTATTTATGTTTCTATTGAAACCAGATTTTCTCCATTTCTACTGGTAGGTGGGATCTAAGCCTGTTTTAATGTCAGCAGCTAATCAAGACAGGGGATGCCTGTCAGTGTCCTCTCTTGAGGGGAGCAGCCAGCAAAGCTGGATTCCTCTCCCCTACCATTGAGTTGTGTATTGCAGCTCTTAGAGGCAATTCAGTTCTGTCAACACCATATCATCAGATGCCACAGGTTAGCCTCTTCCCCATTTCAGATATCACAGAGTCCAATTCGTTTTACTTGTTTCTGACCTACTGGCTAGGGTTTCCACAACCCTTTCTTACATTTGGTTTGTTTCGTAGAGCAGCTTACAGAACTCAGAGAAACAGGTTTACAGTATATTATAAAGGATATTTTAGAGGATACAAGTAAATAGATGAAAAGATAATAGAGTGAGGTCAGGAAGGGTCTCTAGCTCAGGAGCTTCTGCCCTATGGACTTGGGGTAAATCACCAGCACATTGTTGTGTTCTTGTTCACCTTCCTGCAAGCTCTCTGAACCAGTCTTTTGGGTTTTTGTGGAAGTTTCATTATGTAGGCAAGATTGATTAAGTGATTGGCTGTTGGTGGTCACCTTCTCCCTCCTTGGAGCTGAAAGTTCCTGCCCTTTGAGCACCTGGCTTATTCCCCAGGCAACCAACTCCCATCTGTGGTTATTGAGGGATTTACCAAAAATCACCTCATTAATCTAAGGTGTATTCAGGTGTTTTGGAAGGGCTTGTAAATAATGAAGGGCTGTCTCTCATCTTTATTGCTCCGAAGCTGTTCTGGAGTTGCTTCAGGAATCAAGGACAAAAGACCAAATTCTTAAACAACAAAATGTTCTTATTGCTCTAGTTACTTAGGAAATAACAAGGGTTACAGGAGCTGTGAGCAAATATCATAATATGATAGTAGTAATATCATCATGGTTTTATTTTTCATTTCTCTAATAAATGGCATTGAGCATCTTTTCATATGCTTATCTGTTTCTTCTTTAATGAAATATCGATTCAAGTCTTTTGCCCATTTTTAAATATTGGGTTGTTTTCTTATTGCATCATGAGAGGGTTTTTTTCAAATATATATATATTTTACAATTTCTTTACCAAATATAGGATTTGCGAATAGTTTTTCCTTGTCTGTGGCTTGTCCTTTTAGTCTCTTAGCAGTGCCTTTCAAAGAACTTTCAAAAGTTCTTTGAAACTTCTTAATGTTTCTGACGTCCAATTTATCAATTTGTTTCTTTCATGAATCATATTGTCTGTATCATGCCTAAGAAATCTTTGCCTAAATTCACAAAAGTTTTCACCTATATTTCTTTTAGAAGTTTTATGATTTTAGGCTTTCCATTTGGGTTTCTGATTCATTTCAAGTTAAATTTTGTATATGGCATAGAAGATATAAGGAAGATATAAATTCAAGTTCATTTTTTTTTCTTTTTTGCATATGGATATTCATTTTTTCCAGCACCATTTGATGTTAATGGTGATGATCTAGGGGTCACGTTGTTTCTCGGCTCTTGTATTATTTTCTCTGGTTTTATTGGGGATCTTACGGAAGTATCTGAAACTTGGAGAAGTTTCCAGGCTACCACCTCTCAACTTTTGACTTGGGATAGCATCAGACCATTGCACATGGTCTTAAATGTTATTATTATTATGAGATTAAAATCACATGCTAGCCCCAGGCCAACATGGTTCTAAATGGAGAAAAATTGAAAGCATTCCCTCTAAAAACTGGAACAAGACAGGAATGCCCTCTTTCACCACTTCTGTTTAACATAGTTCTTGAAACTTTAGCCAGAGCAATTAGATGAAAGAAATTAAAGGGATACAGATAGGAAAAGAAGAACTCAAATTATCACTATTTGCCAACAATATGATTCTATACCTAGAAGTCCCAAAAAATTCCACCAGAAATCTTTTAGAACTAATAAATGAATTCAGCAAAGTAGCAGGATATAAAATCAACGTCCAAAATCAAAGGCATTTCTGTACATCAGTGACAAATCCTCAGAAAGAGAAACTAGGAAACCACCCCATTTACAATAGTCTCAAAAAAAAAAAAAAAAACCCCAACTTGATGAAAGACCTCTACAATGAAAACTATAGAACGCTAAAGAAAGAAATTAAAGAAGACCTTAGAAGATGGAAAGATCTACTTGTTCTTGGATAGGCAGAATTAATATTGTCAAAATGACCATACTACCAAAAGCGCTATACAATGCAATCCCAACCAAAATCCCAAAGACATTCTATGAAATAGAATAAGCAATCATGAAATTCATCTGGAAAAACAAGAGACCCAGAATAGCCAAAGCATATGGATATTCATAATAGCCTCAGCAAGAAGAGTGAGCTGGTAACATTATTATTCCAGACCTTAAACTATATTGCAGAGCAATAGTAACAAGAACAGCATGGTATTGGCACCAAAATAGACCTGTAGACCAGTGGTACAAAATAGAGGATACAGAGACAAACTAACGTAATTACAGTTATCTCATATTAAACAAAGGAACCAAAAACATACATTGGAGAAAAGATAGCCTCTTTAACAAATGGTGCTGGGAAAACTGGAAATCCACATGTAACAAAATGAAATTAAACCTCTGTCTCTCATCATGCACAAAACTCAACTCAAAGTGGATCAAGGAAGTAGGAATTAAACCAGAGACCTTGTGCCTAATAGAAGAAAAAGTAGGCCCAAATCTCCATCATGTCAGATTAGCCCCAATTTCCTTAATAAGACTCCTGTAGTGCAAGAATTAAAACCAAGAATCAATAAATGGGATGGATTCAAACTAAAAAGCTTCTTCTCAGCAAAAGAAACAATCAGTGAGGTGAATAGAGAGCCTACAGAATGGGAGCAAATCTTTACCACAGCACATCAGATAGAGCACTAATCTCCAGGATATAGAAAGCACTCAAAAACCTTAACACCAAAAAAAAAAAAAAAAACCCAAATAACCCAATCAATAAATGGCCCAAGGAACTGAATAGACACTTCTCAGAAGAGGATATACAATCAATCAACAAATATATGAAAAAATGTTCAACATCTCTAGCAATTGGAGAAATGTAAATCAAAACTAAGATTTCATCTCACTCCAGTCAGAATGGCAGCTATCAAGAATACAAACAGCAAGTGTTGGCGATGATGTGGGGGAAAAGGCACACTCATGCATTGCTGGTGGGACTGCAAATTAGTGCAGCCAATCTGGAAAGTAGTATGGAGAATCCTTGGAAAACTTGGAGTGGAACCACTAATTGATCCAGCTATCCCACTCTGGTTTATACCCAAAGGATTTAAAAATAGCATACTACAGGGACACAGCCACATCAATGTTTATAGCAGCACAGTTCACAATAGCTAAATTGAGGATCCAACCCAGATGCCCGTCAGTTGATGAATAGATAGGGAAACTTTGGTATATATATACACACACACATACATAGGAATATTACTCAGCATTAAAAGAGAATAAAATCATGGCATTTGCAGGTAAATGAATGGAGTTAGAGAATATAATACTAAGTGAAGTTAGCCAATCCCCAAAACCAAAAGCCGAATGTTTTCTTTGATATGAGGATGCTGACTCATCATGGTGTTGGGGGTGGGGGAGCATGGGAGGAATGGAGGAACTTTAGATAGGATGAAGATGAGGGAGGGGAAGAGGTAAATGGGGATAGGAAACGTCTGTGGAATGAGTTAGACATCATTACCCTAAGTACATGTATGAAGACGTGAATGATGTAAAAATACTTTGTGTACAACCAGTGACTTGAAAAATTGTGCTCTATATGTATAAGATGAAATGAATTTCATTCTGCCGTCATATATAACAAATCAGAATAAATAAATAATTAATAAAAAATTCATATGATAAAGACCTAAAGGTAACTCTTGGTCACCTTGGTTTGTGCTGACCAGTTTTAATTGATAAATAATTAATTGACTGTTTTTAGTAAATGATGAAATGTGTTTTTAACAGATTTTATGGTTACCCTTCAGAGTTAGCATGTTCTTATTGGCAGGGAGGAATCTTATAGTCAAGAGCCTTGAGAGATAACAGGTTGTTTGCTGAGGAATGCAACATACCCTGTTGACTTGCCAGAGTAGGGCCAGAATGGCCTTAGGTAAGTTGCTTTTTAGGAGAAAGCATGTGGTCGGTCCAGTCCTGGCACCTGAACTTCATGTTCCCACTGCTCATGCTGTCTGCTGCCTATCAGTATTTTGCTGTGTAACATACTGCACCAAAACTTAGTGGTTTAAACATTGAACAACAGCATTTTTTAAAATCCACATCTCACTGATGCTTTTTAAAAATTTTTTTCTTTTCATTTTGGTTATTTCCTGTTGCTTTTGTCTTCTGCAATGATTAATCTGCTGTATCAGTGTATTTTTCATCTCTGATATTGTCATTTCATCTCCTTTTTGAACATATGGAATACAGTTATAATAGCCCTCTTAATGTTCTTTTCTGCCAATTTTCACATATATGTTCAATTCTGAGTGGGCTTCAATTGATTGTTCATAAGAGATCATGTTCTGTCACTTTATGTACCTGGTTATTTTTTGAATACAACACATTGTGAATTTTACCTTGTTGAAATTTTTGTATTCCTATAAATCTTACTGGTCTTTGTTCTGGGATACGGTTAAGCTACTAGGAAACAGTTGAATCTTTTGAGTTTGATGTGTTAGGGAGTGTCTGGAACAGTGCTCAAGTAGGACTAGCTATTTCCCACTACTGAGGCCAGACCTTTCCGAGTTGTGTACCCAGTGTCCCATGAATGATACGTTTTTCCAGTCCATCTGGTGGGAACAGGCACTGTCCCAGGCCTTGTGTAAGCGTCTGGCACTGTTCCTCTAATGTCTTTGGATGGCTCTTCCTCCAGCCTTGGATCGTTTCTTTGCACATGTGTGCTGAGGAATATTCTGCTTAACACTTGGGGACCTTCTGCAGATCTCTAAGTTTCTGTCTGTGCAGTTCTCTCCTTTCTAATACTCTGTCTTGCAAATTCTGTCTGCCTTGGTGTCATGGACTCTCAGCTCTATCTCTCAACTCAGAGAGTCTGCCTGGCCCCACCTCAGTTCCTTCTCCCTGTGCTGTGTGACCTGGAAATTTTCCCAGGCAATAAGCTGGGACAGTTCGGACTCTGTTCTTTTGTTTTGTTTGGCTTTTTTTGGCAGGAGGTTGAACCTGTTTTTTCTATCTTTCCTATAACCTATTTTTAAATAATTTGCAAGAGTTTTAAAAACATCCCTTTACATCATTTCTTTATTTTTATATCTCTTTTTTCTTCCATTCTGATCTTTCATTTTAATAAGAAAACTATTTGAAGATAGGCTTTGGGATCTGACTTCCAGGACTAGAGATCTGGTTATACCTGCTATTGGCTAGAAAATCTTTACAAGTTAAATTTGCTTGAAAAATGGGGTGATAATTGCTTCATACAGTTGATGTGAGAATTAAGCGAGATGGTCTGATGGTACATAGCAGGCTATGGGCATGTAGGCCATAGGTGTTCAGTTAGACACCATAGTGTCCCTGTCTCACTGTCCCACTGGAATGTTTTCACCCACAGATCTGCTCTGGCTGCAGTCATTCTGGCAACAACACTGACTGGGCGGACCGTTGCCATTCCCCAGCCTCGCCAGAGATCCCGATCTGAAAGTGAGGTCTCCATCGTGGAAAAGGACAGCTTCATCCAGCCCTATGCCACCAGCTCAGAGCACGGGCTTGGGTAGGAACAGTATTGCTGGCTCTGCTTTTGCTGGGGACAGAAGAGGAGCAGCTCAGCATCTTCACTGTGTGTGTGTGGGAGAGGGCATGCACATGTGTGTATGATATTTATGATAAGAGACTTAGTTGTCAGGTTTTATCCTTAGTGTCAATGGGACACTGTCCAGGGACATTAATTGCCCTTGAATCAGAATTTTCTCCAAAGTGTCTCCCTAAACTTGTAAAAGCACTGGTGATTTTAATGACAGCACAGGGCCAGTGAATTTAGTGTTGGCTTTTAGCCCTGAGTAAGATTCTCTGTGCTACAACCCAAATAGAGTTTTCTCATTACTCCTCCAGAATCTCTCCTCCGAGTACTCATGCAAGTTTTGCCTGTTTTCCCTTTGAACAGCTTTTCTTTATTGCATCAGCTTGGTTTGAGCTGACACAGGGCTGAGAGGTCAGGAGGGTTTCCTCTGGGGGAAGCGCGGGTTGAGGGGAGCACTTGGGGAACATACATAAATTACCCTGAAACAGGGACCAGAGACATGGCAGCAATTGAAGGCAGATGTTTGTGTCTGTGAGGGCTCCAGTGATGGGGACAATGAGTGGGGTGGCCTTTGGTATCTTGTTCAGAGGGTTGGAATGTGCCCTAAGAGCACCAAAGACACTGATGGGCTTTTAGGGCTTGTGGGTGAGAATGAGGACATCTAATTTGCATATATATACACTGGAGATTAAGCCCAGAGGTATTTTTTAGATTTTTTTTCTTAGTTGTTGATAGATCTTATTTTATTTATTTATACATGATGCTGAGAATCCAACCCAGTGCCTCATACATGCTAGGCAAGTGCGCTACAGCTGAGCCACAGTCCCAGCCCTAAACCCAGGGGTATTTTGCCACTGAGCTATATTCACATTCCCTATTATTTTTTTGTTTTGAGACAGGGTCTCCCCAGGTTGCTTAGGGTCTTACTAAATTGCTGAGGCTGCCCTCAAATTTGATATCCTCTGCCTTAGCCTCCTGAGTCACTGGGATTACAGGCAATGTGTCACTGTGCCTGGCTTAAATTTGCCATTTTAACTGTCATATATATACAATTTTTTGTTTTGTTTTTTGGTTCTGGGGATCAAACCCAGAGTCTTGCTCATCATACTATGCACATACTTGATCACTGAACTATACCCCTAGCCTGTATGTATGTATATACACACATGCACACATACACATCTATCTATCTATCTATATATATATATATATATATATATATATATACACCAAATATTCTGTATTTTTAATGTAGCAATACCAAATATTCTATTTTTTTATTATTATTATTTTTTGCATTACAGTTCTTAATACACCATTATATAATAATTTATCATATCCTGATTATATATAAGGTATGTTGACACCAAATATTCTGTATTTTTTAAAAACATTTTTTTCTTAGTTGTTGATAG